GATGCCATAGGTCTTCTGAGAAGCCTTAATGAAATCCGTGAAATAGAAAGAAAAAATTCCGTTGGCCTTCCATCCATCCCCTGTGGTTGAAGGTGGCCCCTTAGACTTTGACTACTGCATAACCACTTGTAGGTTGCACATGTGTGACAATTCAATGGGCAGTTCACATTTCTATGTCAGAAAAGCTGCAGGGAAGGAATCAGAAAGCTCAACACCTTGGCCAGAGGTGAGGCACTCTCCAGCCGTACTTGCAGGAAGCTGGTCAAAGTCTATCAAAACTGGTTGTAGAGCCAAGACCGGTTTGGCTCAATGGATAGAGCGTCGGCTTGGGGACTGAAAGGTCCCGGGTTCGATTCTGGTCAAGGGCATGTACCTTGGTTGCGGGCATATCCCCAGTAGGGGGTGTGCAAGAGGCAGCTGATCGATGACTCTCTCTCATTGATATTTCTAACTATCTCTCTCCCTTCCTCTCTGTACAAAATCAATAAATAATTTTAAAAAATTTTTAAAAATTAAAAAAAAAACTGGTTGTAGAAGCAGTAACTTCAGTAAGATGTGGATGAGCAGATTTAAAGTGATGCACAAGTAGCATCTGATACCGCAGAACCTTTGCACTACTCAGATCCATCCTTTCTCTTCATTAACTCCAGTCTGTCACCAAGCCTCCTTCAAGATGCTAGCCAGCCACAAGTGGGTTTATGGAATAGCTGCAGCCTGTGCTCCTGCAGCTGGTCCCAAAGCCTGATAGAAAGTCACATCTTTCTCCCCCACTGTCCATTCTGAATTTCTCTCAGCCTCTGCCAGCATCTCAGCTGGCCTAAGATTGCTTGCCTAAGAGTTATCCAGACCTTTCCTTGGGTTTCACCATTATCATCTGGCACAAAATACCAGGAGATGCGCCAATCAAGTTCCTGAACATTCTCCCTCCCTCTATTATATAGCAGCTGTCTGGGCCCTTTATGTTAATAATGGTAGATTAATCTTGCAAATATATTATTCCCCTTCACTCTATGTCCCAGTAATGAGGAGTCTGAAGTGATCGAGTGACAGTCATGCTCCGTGGAACTCTTTTACTTTTATCTTCTGGTGGAGGTGTTCTCCTTCCTGGGACCCAGGGCCTTTAACCCATCAGAGCTTAAGGTTTCAGGAACAGGGAGCATAAACTTTGAAAATGGGTTACTAGGAGTAATGGTGAAAGTGACTGATTGCATTTACATCCCTTGGTTCCTGTAGGGACACAGCACCATATGTCAGCAATTGATACAGTTCATCTTTTCTCTAATTCAGAACTTTAGCTGAGACTTCAACAGGTCATCTGCTTCTGGGTGAGAAGATACCCTGTAATACCAATGGATCCTCTGGTCCTGCACCCATTCTGACACCACCTTTGTGGTAAATTAATCCCCTGAGCAAAAGCAATGTGTGGGGGATGCCATGCCAATTGATGAGGCATTCTGTAAGCCCTCAATTAGTGTGTTGGTGGAGACTTTGACAGAGAATGCGAATTCATTGCCATAGAAAGTTTTAATTTCAGTACGGATGGATTTTTACCATCTTCAGGGTGGAAGGGCCACAGACCCATTGTACCTTCTGTGAAACACTCCAGAGCTAGAACTTTAAATTTTACCTGGCCTTCGTTTGCTTCTATTTTAACCGGAAAACCGTGATATCATTTCAGGTCCCCTGAATTTCACATCCTTCATCCAACAGTCCTTGAAAAGTCTAAGTGTCATTCTTCCCAATTTTCACCTGGCCTCCATTTGCCCCCATTGTAACTAGAGGACCATGATGGCTCTTCTGGTCCTCTGGCAGTAGTGTTAATTCATACCTCTTGTCCAAAGTCCTCCAAAATGCTAATTATTCTTTTTAATGTAGAGTTACTCTGGTAAATGGCCATAGAGTCCTTTGTGGAAGGATAGGGAGAATGTTTATAATCATTCTTGTGATAGGTAGGGTCTTTCCTTAAGGGTACTCAGCCTCCCTTTTAACTAATGAGATTGGGGTCTATGAATTTATATAAATCTAAATTGGGTTAAGTACCCGGATTTTCCTTTGGGGTAGCTGATGATAGGATTCTGCCCTCCAGTTCTCTTTGTCTATTACACACACAAACAAGTAATCAACCAGTCAGCTGTTCACTTGTCTCATCTCTAAAAACACTATGATTAGTCCTTGCCATAGATTCCTGCAGATCAAGGCAACCTGATTGCTACTGCAGACTCCTGCCTGTGTCAGTAATTACACCATCTTGCCTCTGATCAAGTATTGTTACATGGGTTCTGCCCATTCAGAAATCCTCTAATCCTACCAATATCAGCAAGACTGATTCCACAGCAGCATTTCCACTTAACTCTGACCTTTGGAGGACAGGCATCATCAAATTTGTTTTAAAATGTTGATGTCCCTCTCATCAGTGAATTCCTCCTTGCCTTCCTTAAGGGAATGTGCTAGGTTTCAGATATCACATAACAAATTCAGTTTGACATGAGCCTTTGGATGTCATCCTTTATGTTAAGCCAAAGCAATTTCAGCATCTCTACCTCACTGTCCTACTGGCCATCATCACATCCAGCCTTCAAGGAAACCTCCCAGCAACATATTAGGACCAACTCCATGTGTTCTTTTTAATATATTTTATTGATTTTTTTAAAGAGAGGGAGAGGCATAGAGAGTTAGAAACATCAATGAGAGAGAATTATCAATCAACTGCCTCTTGCACACCCCTTACTGGGGATGTGCCCGCAACTAAGGTACATGCCCTTGACTGGAATCTAACCTGGGACCTTTCAGTCAGCAGGCCGACACTCTATCCACTGAGCCAAACCAGTTTCGGCTCCATGTGTTCTTATTAGGATATTAAGCACCAGGTCATGAGTGAGTATTTCAATACATAAATTCTCTATGCAGCCAGCCTTGTTTTATTCCTCCTACTAGTTCAGCCCCTACATAATTTTCCCTGTTTCCTTTTAGTATCTAATGTGGGACCTGCAATTACTGTAAATCATTTTCTCCTGAAGTAATGGTGTCAGCGATCTGATCCCAGGTACTGGCATACAGATGATGATTTGTGGCATCCTGTATCATTTTGAGAGTTATATTCTTCATATAGGGCTCCAAATCTTTGCAGACTCTCAAGGCAATAAGAGAGTGCTCTCATTTAGCAAGGAGAATTAGACTGCTTCTACCAAAGTGGGGAGTTCAGGGAAATCTGAGAGTGATTCCCACTCATCTATCCAAATGCCCATATTCCAGCATTCAAGATTACATAGTTTTCTACCAGAGCCTGAACTCAGTCCACCCAAAGAGGCTGTGTCTGCAGTCTCCTTTGCAGCTGTGTAGTCTTGATAATTTGATCCTGGGCCTGATTTTCAACACAGTCTTTCCTGCAGGTGCAGAAAATGATGATCTCCTATAATACCTAGTGAGTGTGAGTCAACCCTTCACCTTCCACCTGCATCTCTGCCCAACCAACCTCATATTAGAATCTGAGTAGCTGCATGTCACTGGCTATCACCATCTCATATCCCATCACCAGTGGGGTCTTCATTGCCATTTGACTGGTGCATTACTCAGTTCCCAAATCCCATTCTAATTATCTGTTTTTCAGGGCTAATACAATATAATACCGGCCATCTTTCCCACAGTACGCCTGAAAGCAGAATGTGAGACACAGAGCTGCATGAGAGTAATTTATTGGAGAATGTGTCACAAGCAGCAGAAGTGATTAACAGGAGAATGGCATTGAGAAGGATGAAAAGGCAATACAAGAATGTATTATCAAACGGGCCATTGCTGTAAATTGGTTCTGATCACATAGGACATTCTGGGAAATCTTATGAAATGTGTATCAATACTGTCCATCCTAAGGTTGAAGGGGAGAATCAATTATTCACCAGTTCCTTTGATCAATGATGGGCCCATAAAGGTTAAGACCCCACACTTCCAAGTTTAAGTGTTGAATGCTGAATGGATTCCCTCAAGGATCAGAGAAGCCTCAGGTATCAGAAAGTAAGAGGTCTCCATTGCAGGCTCAGGGCCAGCCCACAGTCGAGTTACACCTGTGAGAAGCTAGTTGAAGCCTGAGTGCAAAGGGTCCTAAGCAGCTGCGGCTGGAATCAAAGATAAGGCCGAGAAGATCTGCATAATATAAGTCAATGTGAAAGAGGCTTACTAGTAGGGATGGGTGGGAAAGCAACCTGGTGGGCCTGTCATCATCTTGTATCTACACTGAACAAAATATAAAGGGAATTGAAAAGATTTGTAGATTGCAAGGATTGAGTGAAATAATACAGGTGAAGCTCCTATCAACTTAAGTGTGCAATAAATAGCAGCTTTAAAAACATCTGTATTATTCAAATCTTGATCATAGGACACAGCTCTTGGCAGGTATATATTTTATCACAATAAATACACGAAGTATTAAAAATTTAGGCTGAAGATGCTGAGGTCTGTAACCTGTGTCTGCCAGCAGCCACCCTTTGTCGATTTTACTTTCACTACCACAAATGCTGTCCTCTGAAACTCCAAATTGTTGGTTGGGGGTTGGGGGTGTTATTTTTAGAGAAATAGCACACACACACACACACATACACACACACAAATCCAAAGACATAATAACAGATGTCGCTATAGAATGGGGAAATGGAGGTGTAGCAGGTTGGTGTGTTAGGGTGTATTTTAAATGTCTTGCCCACTAGATGGTGGAACAGAGTCCCTAACCTGACAACAAAATTCTTTCTCACAGGTTTGAGTCTCTCTTAAAACGCCACACAGGACTTTGCACGTAAAACCCAATCAGTTAAATGTTTTCAAAACTTTTGCTTGTTAAGCAGTGAGCTGAAATGACAAAGGTGGGAAAGGTTAGGAAGAGATGAGAAGCAAGGAACTACAAGGACTCGGGGCGCTAAACTACGTTTCCCAGAAGCCCACGCGTTGGACCTACAACACCCATCATGTCCGCGTTCCCGCTCTCCTAACCGGTCGGTGCTTTCACGTTTGCGAGAGCGCGGAGGGAGACACGGGGTCCCTACCGTGAGGCAGCGACAGCTCTTCCCGCTTTAATGTCCTAAGCCGAGGCTATTCCCACCCTCACTGGCTGAGGCAAAAAGACGCTAACCGCCGTCCCGTCGGAGCCACAGGCCACGTGACAAGCGCGGGTCATGTGACTCCGAGCCCGGCGGCTGACGTCCGTTACCGTGACAACTGCCTGGCCCCCAGCGGACTTCCCGGCAAAGCGCGGAATTCGGAGGCGCAGGTGGGTGCGGCACGGGCACGGCATCCCGGGGCCCGAGTGTGTGCTCAGAGCTTTCGTTTTGGGTCCCTCCCCACCTCCATCTGCAGGTGCACCTTTGTCTTCCCGCCGCCCCCGGAGCCCGCGCTTCCTGGAGCCGGGACCCTTGCCGAGTGGGGACCCGGTGGGTGGGATCCGCCTCTGCCTGGGAATTGGAAGCCCTTGACCGTAACCTCACGCACCTTGAAGGGTTGAGAGACGCAGATGAGGGCGAGGAGGGGCTCTTCTCCCGCAGGCTGGGTGCGGGGTGTGGGGCTCTGCGCGCACCCTCCCCTCTCCCCGCCTCTGAGCGGGGAAGCCGCCTAGCGCGGCGCCCCGGAAAGCTGAGTTCCAAAGGGGGTGCTGGGAGAGCTTTAAGCTGCACGCCACCTTTGCATCGTTTTTTTTGTTGGCTTTCCCTCGCGACAAAATCAACAACTTGATTCTGATTGGTGTGTATATTCCATTAATTTTATTTCAGGTAGGTTTTGAGTCTTAATCAGTTCCACTTGATTCCACTTATATGTATGTATTTGGAAACATCCCGTGTCTGGAAAGCGTGTTTTGCAAAGCTGTTAATATGGATTGAGTGATAAGTCAGCCCAAATTGCCCTGTGCTTTGCCAAAAAGAAACGTGGTGTGTGTGTGTGTGTTTGTTGCATTTGCTAATTTTTAAAGGATTCCTTGAGAGGACCTGTAAGGGATGTTAAATTTTAACTCACGCGCGCACATACGCACATGCATAGAGTTATGAAATATGGTGGAGGCCTTGAACCATAGGATGTTAACAATAAAAATGTATTTCTGGACTCTTAAGTAAAAGGCAGATTGTGATAGCTGCTTTTCCAAATCAGTTTTATGAATAAGTTAGGGATCTCTTCCCCAAGTTTCTGGTCCATAAGTGTGCATATATACTAAAACCATAAAAAATGTCTGAGGTTTAAGTCGTTGTTTTCATGATGTGATATAAATTTCCTCAAAAGATGTTTATTATTTCTTGTTATTTAGTGTTCTGGGGTTGTAAATACTTTGGAATGTTTATGTTGGCAAGTGAAAATTATTGATTATGTCTCACTATTCCAAAGAAGAACTGGATGAAGAGTTTGAACAGTTCATGAAAGAGGTAAGTATATATTTTTAAAAGGTGTATTGTAAATTTGGTAAAAAAAACAAACAAAACAAAACAAAAAACACTCATCCTTCAGTTTTCTCTTTCACCTCTTAACCTGTTAACCGAGCGGGACCTATAAATACATCAAACATAAACAATATCGGGAATGGGTAGGACATATGAATATGTCCTTGAAATATATGTTGTGCCCCGAGAGGGACGGTATATATTTTTTGTAATCTTTTTTTTTTTTTAAATATTTTATTGATTTTTTACAGAGAGGAAGGAAAGGGGAGGGATAGAGAGTTAGAAATATCGATGAGATGAGAGAGAAACATCGATCAGCTGCCTCTTGCACACCCCCCACTGGGGATGTGCCGGGAACCAAGGTACATGCCCTTGACCGAATCGAACCCGGGACCTTTAGGTCCGAAGGCCGACACTCTATCCACTGAGCCAAACCGGTTTCAGCTATTTTTTGTAATCTTTATTATTGTTTGTAAAATTTATAATTTTTTAATTCGACATGTCCATTTTTTTTTGTGTCGGTATTCTTTTCTATTTTTTTTGTAATTTTGTATTTTCCTTTGTGCTTTATATATATATAAATAAACAAATTTTATATATATATATATATATATATATATATATATATATATATCATTTATTTTCATTAAGAATAAATTTAAAAAAATAATATGAAATTACGTCCTCCGGGTGTGACATACTGACTCGTCCTAGTGAAAGAGTTGTGTCATTAAAAAGGGAACTCACGGTTAACAGGTTAAGATCCAGTCCATCATCAAGCTTTGTGGACTCTGTCTCCACATTATACCTGCCATCCTTCTATTCCCTTCCTTTTCACTGCCACTATCCTCGTTCAGGACACCAACAGCTCAGCTGGGCTGCTACAGCAGTTCCCAAGTACTGTCCCAGCATTCCTTCACCAGTCTGCAGCCTGCATGGTGTGTTATATATAGCAGAGTCTGTTGGCCTTCTATCATTTATATAAAAATATATAAACTGAAGGATTGAAGGACGGGTCACTATGACGTGCACTGACTTCCAAGGGGCAGACACTCAATGAAAAAGCTGCACCCTGATGGTCACTGTGCTCCCACAGCCAACCTCCCACAGTACCTGCCCCTGGCCAGCGGCTCTGATCGCCCTGATTGCCGGCCAGGCCAAAGAACCCCACCTGTGCATGAATTCGTGCACCAGGCCTCGAGTCTATACTAATAAAAGGGTAATATGCTAATTAGACCACACATCTTCCAGGCCTTCTGGATGTCCCACCAAAGCCATGGTGGTGGGTGCCAAGGCAGAGGCCGATAGGGGCCATCAAGCAGGTAGGCAGAACAGCTAGGGGCGATCAGGCAGGCAGGCAGGCAGGTGAGTGGTTAGGAGCCAGCGGTCCCAGATTGTGAGAGGGATGTGTGACTGCCAGACATTCCCCAAGGATTCCCAGATTGGAGAAGGTGCATGAGTTTCATGCACTGGGCCTTTAGTAGATAATAAAAGTCCAAACTCATTTCCAGGGTTTACAAAGCCCTGGATGATATTGCTCATGTCTATCTCACTGACTTTATATCACTTTTATTATCCATTTATGTTACAGTGGCCTTTTCCCCTCTAGGCATGTCAAGCTCAATTCATAGTAGGAGCTTTGCACTAGCTGATCTCTCTGCTAATAATGTTCCCCTGTTCTTCACAGGGCTGGCAAAAATCGCATCTTAAATATCAGGGAAAAAATGTGTGTGTGTTTTTTTTTTGTGTGTGTGTGTTTTTAGTAAAAAAGAAACCACCAAGTTACTTAGTATACCATGTATTTATACTATACAAAAGTATAATAATACTATACAACTATTATTTTACTAGTATAGGTCTATTTTCTGTTTCTCATCATAAGAACGTTTAATCTGACAAGTAGCATATATCAATGTCTCATTCTTCTTTATAGCTTAATAATATTTTACTGTATGGATTTACCACGTGTTTACCCACTTATTAGTTTAAAGACATTTGAGTTCTTTCCACTTTTTGGCAATTATGAATAATTATGGTTTGAACAGTCATGCACATGTTTTTGAGTGGATGTACATTTTCATTTCTCTTGTGTATATACCTAGTAGTAGAAATGCTAGGTCATATGGTAACTCTGTTTAACTTTTGGGGAACTGCCAGGCTGTTTTCTAAAGTGGCTGTACCATTTTCTATTCCCAGCAGCAATGTATTAGTGTATTAGGATTCCAATTTCTTCATATCCTTGCAGCACTGTTAATTACTTGGGGACCAGTTTTTTTCTTTCTTTTTTTTTTTTTGTTTGTTTTGTTTTGTTGTTGTTGTCATCGTTTTTGTTAGTCTTCATGTGAGAATATTTTTCCCATTGATTTTTGGAGAAAGTGGAAGGGAGGGGGAGAGACAAAGAGAAACTATGTGAGAGGGGGACACATCGATTGGTTGCCTTCCACACTCCAATGGGGGCTGAGGATCAAGCCTACAACCAAGGTACATGCCCTTGACCAGAATCAAACCTGGGATTCTTCAGTCCATAGGCCGACACTTAACCACCTAGACACTTAATCAACTAGAGCTTTTGTTTTGTTTTTGTTTTAAATACATTTTTATTGATTTGAGACAGACAGAGAGAGAGAGATGTCATTGGGGATCAAGCCTGCAACCTAGGCATGTGCCCTGACTTTTTGGTGCATGGGATAAGACTCCAACCAACTGAACCATATCAGCCAGGGCTGTTTTGTATTTAATTATTGTAATCTGGAAAGCAGTGCAATTTTGTCAAAAGTGGGAATACCTATTATGTATTAGAATTAGACAATAGGGTGGGAATTCTGCATTTCTATCTTTTTTCTTTCTGATTTTTGCCACAACTATACAAGGTCAGTGCTATTATGGCTATTTTTAACAGGTGAATAAAGTAAAGAGAGATGTAATATTCCCTAAGCCTGTGATTGGCAATCAGCAACTCGTGAGCCACCTGCAGCTCTTTGGTCCCTTGAGTGTAGCTCTTCCACAAAATACCACGGCCTAGGCAAGTTTATTTTGAAGAAGTGGCGTTAGAAGTTTAAGTTAAAAAAAAATTGGCTCTCAAGAGAAATTTCAATCGCCGTACTGTTGTTATTTGGCTCTGTTGCCTAATGAGTTTGCCGACCACTGCCCTAAGCAATAGAGCTAGCATATTTTGAAGTTGAAGTTTCAACTCAGATCTGTCAGGCCCCAAAACCTTCCACACACTATGAGAAGATTAGGAGAAACAGACTGAGTCTGAGACAGATTCTCAGAATTTGATAAACAGTAAGATGTAGGAAGGAGCGAGAAATGAGATATTTTGAGGTGATAGTGAAGTTTAGAGACTGAGTGGAAGGTGGTGCAACTAAAATTCAGGTGGGATAAATAATATATGTTCTTCCCTCCTCTCTTCCTGCCTGGTTGTCAGGGAAGACAATTAGTTACTTTTGAGCATTTCAAAATTGACTGTCTTACAAATCATTGAGCTTGGTTGGCATGTGTCTTGGCAGGTGGAAATGTGTCTTGTCATCTTGGAAGTTTAAAAGGTCACTCTGGTAGCAATGTCCTAGTTGGGAGACTAAACAGTGTAGTAGAAAGTGAAACGGCCGAAACCGGTTTGGCTCAGTGGTAGAGCATCGGTCTGTGGACTGAAAGGTCCCGGGTTCGATTCCGGTCAAGGGCATGTACCTTGGTTGCTGGCATATCCCCAATAGGGGGTGTGCAAGAGGCAGCTGATCGATGATTCTCTCTCATCGATGTTTCTAACTCTCTATTCCTCTCTCTTCCTCTCTGTAAAAAAATCAATAAAATATATTTTAAAAAGAAAGAAAGAAAGTGGGATGGTTTTAGTCACAGAGATCTCAGTTTGAAACCCAGCTCTGTAACACCAGCAGTAGCAGCTTGGGCAAGATGTTTAACCTCTTTAAGCTGTTTCCCTGCCTGTGAATCTCTCCTAGATTACTTCAGGATTGAGATAACTTGGGAATAAATCCTGACATAGAACAGATATAGGATCAATGTTGGTTCCATCCTTGGGAAGAGTGTGTAGAATGAGAATAAAAAGAACCCAGAGCAGAGTCCTGGGGAAGTTTAGAATTAAAGAAATGGACATTGCCAAGAGCTATTAAAATATTGAATAGGTGGGTGAGGAAGGTTACTGAGCTTTTCCCACTAAACCACCAAGTTTTCCACAGAACTTGGAGGATGTGAATGCTGTGAAGTTAAAGGTAGAGAGTTTCAAGACGTTTCAGAGCTGGTCACCCATAGACATCAAGTTCCATGTCGTGATCAGGGAAGGTGGCTGACAGTAGTCCTTTATTGGTGGTATTTAGAGGTCTTTAGTACCTCGAGGAGAGCTGTTTTGGATGAGAACCAGGTTTAAAGGATTGTTTGGTTTGGTTTAGTTTAGATTTTTTTTTAAATAGAGGAGACCAGAGTGTTCATTCTTCCAGTCCACTATTGTACCTGGGAATGTGAAGAGCAGGTTTATAATCTGAAGGTAGGGTGGAGAGGAGGGATTAAGAATCAGATAAAATGGGATAACCAAGGAAGAAAGAACTTGGAGAGGTTGGAAGTGACCCCTCTGCAGGGTCTCCATAAAGTGGAAGAAAGTTTCAGAGAGAAAAGCAATGCTTTAACATAGGGGTGTCGAACTCAATCAGAGAAGGGGCCAAAATCTAAAATCCAGCCTAAATCGAGGGCCGAATGGTTTACTGAACAGTCATAAACTGTCATTGTGATGGAAACGCAGCGGAGTGCAGTGATGACAGCGCGGTGCGGGCCACATTGCAAGGCCTGGCGGGACGGATTTGGCCCGCGGGCCTTGTGTTTGACACATGTGCTTTAACAGGTGAGCTTAGTGATGGAGTGAGGGGGAAAGGTTTTGATTGAAGGTCTTTTATTTTCTCAGTGAGGAGAGAGGCCAAGTTATTGGCTAAGAGTAAGGGGGCTAGGTTCGGGTTAGTGTAGGGAGTTTAGGATTGTAGTAAAATTTGGATCTGAAGAGTTGAAAAAGACAAATAAATATTTATTAAATCCTATCAATTACTGTGACAAAATGCTAATTTCTCTGGTAAACACCTAAAACTCAACTCTCCCTGTCTTAGAATTCTGTGTTCTAGGTAATTTTGCTCATTTTGCTCAATCATTATTTATTCTTAGACCCTCAAAAATGTCTAAAAGAGGATTGTATTTTTCTTTTCTGATTTCCTTGATCAAATTTTCTTTATTTCTTGGTTGTTATTGTTCTCCCTAGGTAGTTTAGTTGTTTAATTCTGTTTATAAAATTGGTGTTCAGAGATTTATGCTTGATTTTTGGTCATATATGTTTAGAAATATGAATTCATACATTAATGCTGAGAATATTGCTTATGTATATAATAGTTTAACTATGAGAGAAGGAAGAAACATTTTAGTGATGAAATTCTCAAACTTAAAATTTAGTAGCTTATATCTGATTCAGCTTTCAGATGACTCTTTTGAAAATTCAAACAAAACAGCTAGACAACCTAAAAGAGAAGTGAAAAAGAAAGATGCACTGCCATGGTGGATAACAGAAGATGATTTTGAAGATGGTGGTAAATATTACTCATTTTTCATCTCACATTATTTGACCACAAGGGGTCAGTCAAGACTTTTAGTTCTAGATTTTGTTACTGTACTATAAATATATAAAGAAAATAATTTGAATTTATTTTCTTCACTTTATTATATACAGTATTAAATAATTGAGAGTCTATGTTTCTACATTATTAGATTATTTTACATTGAGATCATTTATATTTATTCAAATTAAGATGATGAATAATATTAGTATGTTTATATATAATTATATTTAATGGTAAATTGATTTAAGGTGATTTAATAAAATATCCTGACAACATATTAATGTCATTGCAGGGGCAGAATTTAACAAGTCTATAGATTTTGGTATCACAGTTTCTTATAACAGTAGTAAAATAAATAATTTATCGCAGAACTATTCCTCATTGCATTGTTACAAATAGAAAATTACTCTCTGGAGCAGCAGTTGACAACCTCACCGACCACCAGTGGTCCACAGACCGCCCGTGGTGACTCCTGCTCTGGAGTGTTTTCTTCACTGTACTACTACATATGGTGATCGCCGTATCTCTAAGGAACTGAGATGACCATGAAATACCCATGTCCACACTGCTGTGGGTCATTACGCACCATTTTTTAAACTGATAAGTTTTAGTATCTCTTCTCTAGGGGGCAGATTTACCCATGGCTTTTGTTCTTCCCCCCAAATAGCCTGAATGCCCTCATGCCAGTTAAGGCTCTGCGTAATCTGACTGGAACCCTCCTTTCTAGCTTCATGTGCTCCGGCCATACTCGGTTATTCCTTCTCCCCTGGAAGCACCACAGGCTCCATGCCTGTGTGCGTCAGCTCATGCTTTCTTGCTGCTAGAATGCCTTCCCTCTCATCCTTCTTGTCCAGTAAAGTTAGGTATTACCTCTTTTGCAATCCTTCCCTAACTCTTCTAACTCCCTTATCAACACAATTATTTTCTCCTTTGTTTCAGTGTCAAAACACTCTAATAGCATTGATGCATTATGGAAATACTTGTAACCTACTGCTGAGCTTGGCAGCTTTGTGAGGCAGGAAACACTTCCCTGTATCTCCTGACCCTCAGTAGCAAATAATGAATGAGTTTAACAAATGAATGTAAGAGTGAATTTGGTAGTCATTTGTCTGTTCTTAATAATGTAAATAAGGAATTGATTAATTGAAAAATTCAGTGCATTTTTTTATAAGTCCCCAAACTATACAACAGTGTTAGTTTGCATGTGAAGAATTCATTTTTAGAATCTTCCCTCCAGTGTAAAGGATATAATATGATGAAGTGCTATTGGAATTGTTGACAAAGTTTTAACAGTTAATTAGCATTGAAGTATCTTTTCTAGAAAATAATCAGAGGTGGAATGATGTGTAAATTCAAAGGGAAAGAATAGGTCCTAGACTAATATTCGTAATCATAATCATAATGTAAATATCTGTGTTTTCCAGTGGTCTTAGGTGACCCATAGGTTGAGAACCCCTGCTGTAGAGCCTAAGACCATCAGAAAACACAGATATTTACATTACGATTCATAACAGTAGCAAAATTACAGTTATGAAGTAGCAACGAAAAGAATTTTATGGTTGGGGATCACCCCAACATGAGGAACTGTATTAAAGGGTTGCTACATTAGGAAGGATGAGAACCACCGGCCTGAAGGGTAAAACCATCTAATCCTCCTGGGTGTCCTCTTCATTACAAATAAATCAGTTGAGCCTTGGTTTCGGTTATAGTAGTCTCTCGTGAGCTCCATTAGCATGGGTCACATCCCTGCGTCCAGCATTGGAACCAGGATGAGACCCAGACAGATAGCACCGCAGCACCCCAAACTTCGCATGCACTTTCTTAACCTGTCTCTTGTCTCTTGATATTCTGCAGCCATGGAAGTTATTTGAGCTATCAAACCATTATGCACACCTAAAGACATAAAATAGATTCTGAACCCTTTTCAAGAGGACACTAATTAGGAAATTACATTCAAAATTTGTGACTTCTTAAGGCTTCCTGCTAAGCAACAGTTATATTTTTCTAATCTTAATAGTATTTCTATCATGTAATGTAGTCTTTTACTTTCTCTGTATATCAGTTGTTTACAATAAATGTTGTACTATTAGGATAAAGAAAATTTGATATTACATAACTTTATCATTGTTTTCTATTGTTTTTGGAATAAAGAGAAAATCTTACCCCCAGCCTGTGAAGATGAGAATGGTCTAGCCATCAGCTCCTGCTCTGTGCTTATTTCTACCCTGACTTACCCTCACTCTCTACACCCACCTTCACTGGCCTTTTGCATCCTCAGATATGGCTGTTTCCTCGCATTGTTGACCCTTTGTTCCTCTACCCTCTGCCTGGAATTGTCTCCCTTTCCCATTTCAGCTGGTTATTTACTACTCTTCCTTCACATAGGGCAGGCACTGTTCTTTAAAATAGCATGGTACGATGTATAAAAGTTCTGTGCTCTTTTCGCCCTCATAATGCAAAATTTTAAAATATTCTTTCAGTCTGCAGACCAACGCTCTACCGCTGAGCCAAACCGGTTTCGGCTTAAATTTTAAAATATTCTTAAGACACTCTGCAAACAAATATAATTTTTCTTTTGTGAATTTTAGGTTTGATAGATTTTTACTTAATACATTAGATTTATTTTATAGCTACTGTCCACAAAATTAGTGTAATAGTATGGTATTGGCATAGTTGTCAAAACAATGTCCTGAATATAAATATCCAGTTATATTTATTCCCATCCCTAGGACAGCTGGGAACAAATGTAAGCTATCTGAAAACAAAGACGACTTCTCAGCCTATTATGGAAATAGAAGAGGAGTCTGCTGAGAGGATTCAGTTTCTCAAGAGCAGTGGAACCTCCATCCTAAGCATTGACAGCTTAGAAACAAATGGTAAGAAATGTGAGACATACGAGTTGACAGGTTAGTTACTATGCTTATAATCAGAATTTTTACAAAAATTACAATCTTGAAGCACTTAGATTTAATATCTTCCTAAAAGATTTTACAAGTATATTTCTAGAGAAACCTTATAATCCTGCTTATTGATTATGAATATACATCTATCGTATATTAGGTGAAAGATTAAGTAAAATATGTTTTAAAATTTTATTATATAATGTCAATAAATGCATCACTAAAGTTAATTTTATCAAAATTTTTTATGTTAATAAAATGTATTTGTGCCTTCATTTAGAGAGAGTAGTTTCTGAGGTCAATCAAAGTGTACTTGGATTGGGATTGGACACATTTGAAGAAAAAGAAGAAAAAGAGCAATTTTTTGCCAGACTTGAGAAAGGGTTAACGTCTTCCATTGATTACTCAAGATTAAATAAGGAATTGGATTCTAATGATTCCACACATTTTAAAGCTTTACATAGGTAATGTAAATATATTATAAACTAATCATTCAATGATTTTTTTGTGTTTTTCTGTATTTTTGAAAGACTGGTATATACATGGATTAAAATGGGTAAATATTATAACAGGCAGAAGTAGAATCTTATTTTTAACTCTATTTTCTGTTTATTATGTTGGTCAGAGTTTTTCTTTTATGTGAACAAAATACATTGATTTGTATTTGAGATATCTGCCTCCAGATATCTGAATGTCATGCCTGAGACACTACTGAGACTAATAGCACCTTGCCAGAAAGACCTTACTAGGAAAGTAGTTTGTCAAGTGATTTTCCACAGATAAGGTAAATAACTGAGTGTAGGAGCTGTTGTATACTCAGAGGGGAAAGGAATAGAAAGGGCTTGGGGAATCAGGGAGCAAAGACTAGGAGCACAAAGGTAGGACACCAGGGTTTGTGTCCTACCTTTGTGTATATTTCACCCTAATAAGTATCTGAAAACCTCATTTATTCTGGAAATCCTACTAATTGACTGAGCCTGGTCCTCTAAGTATGGTAGACATTTGACATTTTCAAGATCTTTGTGAATCCTTACTATCTTTCATTTCCTCAGTTTTATATATCATTTAATATATTAATTTTAAGTCAAAGTCAGATTGTAATTCTAAGATTTTGAATAACACCAAACTATAATTATCTTAAGAGTCAGGAGAATACTAATTTCTGGTTGTTAGAGTACCTGCTTTCCTCACGAGGCTTCGGTTCTCACAGATGGTGGACAAAGCAGTGACTACTGTGGGCTGTGCAGGCTCTGAGATTGTTACCCTACTTGGATGTTAGCAAGTTAGCCTGCCAGTCATGAATGCTTACAAACACAAGATTCCTGGGTCAGAAGCAAAGGGCTTTATTTCGCACAACAAAAGCAGTTCAGTACCTGAGTGCCAAATTCATTTGCCTCAGTTCCCTATGCCCCCCAAGGCCCACAGGGCAACACTACGGGTCTGTGATGGCTGTCTGCACACGTGGTGGTTGCTTTACAGGAGAGGACCTGTCACTGAGCATAGAGAATCTACTGCTTGATGATAAAGTGGAAACAAGCCTTCTCTTTGGGCAGAAACATTGCTTCATCTCTCAAGGTTGCTCATAGCAAACATGACCCTGAGAAATGACCTAGGAAGTGGGGAATCCATGCCTTGCATTCTTGGTATACCCATCAGGAACATGCAGACCCATGGTGATTACTTTTTGCAAGTGACTACATAGATTAAGCCTGTTCAGGTTTATTAGTCACAAGATTTTTGCCCATTTGCAGTATTTAACTTTTTTCTGACTTCCTAACAAAATTCTTAACTACTGATATTTTTGCTCTGAAACAGATTAGTCAGGATGCAGCATAGTATTGAAATGCAAAATTATTTTCTGCTATTACTAACATCTATAATGATAAAAGTGTAATACACTAATTAGACTGGACATCCTTCCTGACAAAGCCACAGTGGGCGGGGGCCACTGTGCAGAGGCTCTTGCATAATTTTGTGCATTGGGCCTCTAGTAGTTTTATAATTTTTTGGACCTTTTAATCTCACTGGAGGCAGGATTGATGGACTGAAAAAGGTGGAACTGATTCCTGGGTTTGAAAGAAAGCATATCTGAACTAATAGATCCAGTGCAATTCAGACTTGCTCCAGCTTCTCTGTTACCTTGCTGAGTTTTTCTCACAAGCATGTCAAACTCGCTACCGATGGATTTTAAATGAGGCATGCAGCCCACTAGCTGTGACCTTTAGGCACGAGTTTGGTAAGATTCCTATTTAGCTCCTATTTCAGGATTAAGTTCCTTGTTAGCATGTAAATGACTATGGTATTTTTTTCCTAGCCTCCTTGTAGACTTCACTGGTTCTCATAACTTGTGGTCAAGTCCTAATCTTTAGTGTAAAAAGGATATCTTTTTAGTGTAAAAAGGATGATCCTGAGACATGTAAATGCACAAATTTATGAATAGAGTTAAAAAATACAGCATATTTTCCTTTGTATTATTTTGTCAGCTACAATTAAGCTTTAAAGAAATGTTATTTTCAAAATGTTTTGCTTATAGCTCCCACGTTTTTTGCATTTCATAGAACATGAGAAGAAATATATAATGTTAGATATTTTAAAAAATATATATGAAGGATTGCATGGCAATGTATTAACATGTGATACTAAATTAAATGCATATTTTTTCTAGTAATCAAGCTAATATAGAATTAACTGAAGATAAACATGAGAATGAATCAAAGCATGAAGAACTGGCAGGTAATTTCATTAGTTTTAAAATTTACAGTATTTGAAAAGATAATATAACTTTTAATAAAGATATTGGTAAGAAAAAATAATTAAAGGGAAATCATATTGTCTTGGAAAGAGCTTTGAACAGGTAGTGCCAATTGCTTGTGTTGTAACCTGAGCCACCGGAAAGTTGTTAACGGTGCACGCTGCCTTACTTGTTGGGAGTGGGCTGTGGGCCAGCTGGGAAGACAGAAAGGAGGAGTTTTGTGCTAGGAGCAGGGAAATCTGTGGAGCCAAGACAAATACCTTTAAAGCTTAATTGTGGCAGTACATCTTTTTTCCATCTTTTGACTTTTAATGTATCTGTGTTATAAAGTGATTTTCTTATAGATGGCATATAGCCGGGTTTTGCTTTTCTATCTAATCTGACAATCTCTGACTTTTAATTCAGGTGTTTACACTTTATAAAAATATATTTACTGGATTGATTACTTACTGTATTGCTATTTGTTTTTGTATCTTTCCATCTTTTTGTTTATTTTTATTTGCCTTACATTTTGTTGGATTGATTATTTATAGTATTCTGTTATTCCTTCTTTTGGCTGGTTATACCTTTTTGCTGTATTTTTTCTCTTCATTGTCTGAATATGAATTAGGACACATTGTTCACAATATGCATCTTTATCTTATTGGTGTCTACTTTCAAATAATATTTTACAACTGCTGACAGTTCTATAGCTGAAGGTAGTAGAATTAAGTAGTGATTCCAAGACTTCTGGCTCCTGGTTGCACTGTTAAGTGTTATATTGCTTGCACTGTTTCTTATGCTACCTGTTTGTGGTCCCAGAAACAATACATTCCCTTCCATTGATTGGAAGTAGTTCCCAAATCCCAAGTAGTTGTCTAAGTTCATTGTCATAATTTCCCATGTCTCCCCCTTCCATGTACATCTTTTTTTAAGCAAATTTAATCTTTTAGGTTACCTAAAACTTAGTGCTTCCTGCCTAAAATATTAGAATCTTCATCATTTTTATATTGGTCCTAGAACTTAGAACAATGTCTAATACAAAGTAATTTCTCAATAATTGTTTGTGAATTTAATTGTTTCTACTGATATTTAAAAATCTCAGTGTTCTTTCTCAAATGGAGGAGAAACAAAGGTGAGCTTCTCAACTTCCAAATACAGATGTTAACCAAGTAACCTAGCTTATCTGCCTAGGTTACAGTACCCATGCTGTTCCAACCTCATCTTCCTTATGAACTAAAGTGGAAATGTTTCTGTAGGCAGGTCTCAATGGAAGCATCTCTGTTTAATTTCCAATCCCTCTCAAGTGTATTTCCACACTTCCATTAATAACTACATTTAAGTTGTCTCCTCCTTTCTAAAAGAAGACTGAAGGACATTCTTTCCAGAAGCAGACTCTAGTACCTCATCAGTCTTTCTCCCACCGGGCCATCCTGTTTCTGAATGTGATCTCTCTTTTGAACTACAAGTAAGAGTGCATTTCCTTCTAGAATAATTGATTCCAACCTGTAAAGGTTATTACACTTTACAGCCTGTAGGTCTGAGCTATAAACAAGTTATAAATTGTTGAGTAAATCCTGGCCAAATTATCCCTGCCCTATCTTCTCAATAAATAGTCTGATGGCATCATGTTAACATGGACACACCCTTTCCATCTGCTGCAAAGTCATTGAGATATAATTTGGGCCATTAGCTGAGAAGTGCCCAGTCTTGGAAAATAGTGAAGGTCATATAGGCCAATATTTCCTAAGGGAAGTATCAGAGATAGACCTCTCATGAGTATCATTTAAGGCTTATAGTAGAGATACCTCAGATACCAAAAAAAATCAACTTAAAAAATGAGTAGCCCTAGCCTGTGTGGCTCAGTTGATTGTACATAGTCCCATGCACCAAAAGGTCACCAGTTCAAATCCTAAGCAGGACACATGCCTGGGTTGTGGGTTCAATCGCTGGTAGGGGGCACATAGTTGCCAGCCGATTGAACATCAATGTTTCTTTCTCTGCCTTTCCCTTCTCTCTCTCGAAAATCAATTTAAAAAACTTAAAAAGAAATACACAAAATCTGTCCTTTTATAAATCAACATTTTACAATAGTGCTGGCTTTTATAAATAAGCAATTTAAGATTTTTGTCTTTAAAAAACAAATTTTAAAATTTGTTTTAAAGATGTCATAAAATCTTTTGGGTAGCTCTAGACATTTTTAGTTCATTAATACTATAAAAGATTAAAAATAAAATTACTTGAAAGTACAAAAAATAGGATAAATTAAGATAGTCCTATGAATTGAATTATTAAATCTTTGCAAAAAATCTGTTAATTTATGTCAATATTTCAATAAATTACTCTTATGTGGAATTCTTCCTTTTGAAATCAGTCATTTCCTAGAAATTGATTTTTTTATGTGATCCTTATATTTTTAAAAAATTTTCTTTAGAAAATTACAGTGATGATTTTGAAGATGAGGAAATTGATGGGCTTTTGACTACTAAAGATGAAGAGACTAATTCCAGAGAAAATTCCAAATCAGAAAAAATAAATGCACCCAAACAGGTATACATTAATTATGTATTTGATAATTTTGAAACTTTTTTATCTGTTATTCAGGCAATAACTTTAGCTGTTATTATTTGGAGAGTTCAAAATATGGAGTTATTTATAGTCTTTTGTTTGTTGTTTGTTTTTTGTTACATGATTCTACCATTTAAATCCTATCTAATAAAATAGTAATATGCAATACCCACAAGTCACATCCACCAACCAATCAGGAGCAAATATGCAAATTAACCCAACCAAGATGGCTGCAGCCATGGAGAGAGCAGGCGGCTTGGGTTTCCCCCAGCAATGGAGGAAGCCAAGCTTTTCACCTGCCCTGGTGGCCCCCGGCCTCCACTCACAGCTACAAAGTTTCAATTATTGAAGATAAATAAATCCCAACAACAATGGCGGCAGCCATGGAACTGGAGAGAGCAGGAGGCTTGAGTTCCCCTGGGTGATGGAGGAAGCCAAGTTTCCACCTGCCTTGGTGGGCCTAGGTCTCCGCTCAAGGCTACAAAGTTTCTATTATAGAAAATAGATAAATCCCAGATACCAGGGCCTCCACTTGGGTCACCAGGGGGCATGGCTGGCCTGCAAACCACCACAGGCCCCTCACCTAGGCCGCCTCATGCCCCAAGGGGACCCCCACCCTGATCTGGGACACCATTCAGGGCAAACCAGCTGGCCCTCACCTGTGCATCAGGCTTCATATCCTATCTAATAAAAAGATATGCAAATTGACCATCACTCCAACACACAAGATGGCTGCCCCCATGTGGATACAAGATGACCAGCAGGGGAGGGCTGTTGGGAGGGACCAGGTCTGAAAGGGAGGGCAGTTGTGGGTGATCAGGCCAGTAAGGGAGGGCAATTGGGAGGGACCAGGCGTACAGGGGAGGGCAGTTGGGGGTGACCAGGCCTGCAGGGAAAGGTGATTAGGGGTGACCAGGCCTGCACGGGAGGGAAGTTTGGGGCAAACATTCTGGCAGGGGAGTGGTTAGGGGGTGATCAGGCTAGCAGGCAGAAGCAGTTAGGGGCAATTAGGAAGGCAGGCAGGTGAGCATTTGGGAGCTAGCAGTCCTGGATTGTGATCCAGCAGTCCAGTAGGATAGGGCCTAAATGGACAGTTGGACATCCCTCAAGGGGTCCCAGATTGGAGAGGGTGCAAGCTGGGCTAAGAGACATACACCCCCGTGCATTAATTTTGTGCACCTGGCCTGTAGTCTTTAATAAAATTCCATCAAAGATTATGTCATTATATGCCATGATTAGGTTTCTACAAACAACTTTGCTTTCTGCGTACAAATCAGTGTCAATGAAATAAAAAATAAAACTATACTAGGCAGAGAACTTTATTAACCTTTTCAAACTTTATTCCCAAACTTTTTCAGCTTAATTAGTTGCAAAGAATGATTTATGTATAAGCAAAAACTGAAAAGAGCTGCTATGTCCAGGGGCCTTGGGCTAACAAATATTAGAGATCTAGTTTTATCAGATCCATAAACAAATTTGAAAAAGCAGTCATAATATAAAATAGCAGCTCCCAGAAACTTCTTCAAGGTTATCTTCTTCAGAAGTTGACTCAGTTCAGTTTGCTTCATTCTTGGAAGCCTCATCAAAATTCTCCACAAGATCTGAAACTTCATCATCACCACCCCCTCCAGTAGTAATGGCGGTTTTCCATCTACAGATTATTTGGGCAGAGCTTCAGCCAGTCTCCTTAAACTAGTCGGACTGTCTGCACCAAGCTGGTGTAAGATGTGGGGTAGCGTTTCTGTCAGCTGCTCTGTCTCAGCATGGCCTGTAATGGTGAAAGTGTCCGCTGCTAGAGATGCCTGAACTTTAGGGTTGTTAAAGTGGATCACTGTTCCTTAGTTTGAAAACGTATTTATCTCTTCAATACCAGAGATATTCTTTACCGCTAACTTCTTTAATAAGAACAAGTTTTTTATCATCTGCTGTAGCTGTTCTGTGAACCACCACCTTCTTTTTACGAGCAGTTCGTTTCTCACCAACGTGCACTTGTGCCTGCAGTTTGGCAAGTTGCTCTTGATTCTTGATAGTTTCTTTTATCTTGTTGGAGAGGAAAGAAACAGGGCTGAGTGGGGGACAAGGGCTGATGCTCAGGGGATCTAGGGCAGACCAGCTGAGGATAAGTGCACACACACGGGGATGCAAGATCAATTCTTTATCGTCTTGCTTATTCTTGTAAAGTTCTACATCTCTTCACATAAAGACATTTCCTTAATGCAGGATGTCAGTGTGGTATAAATCTCAATGAAATATCATGGCAGTTGGTGATAGTCTTAAGGATATCTTTTGGCAAGTAATTTCCTTAAGCTTTAGAAGTTGAAAAATTAATTAAAATCTCAAGTCTAATTTTAAGCAGACATAATAAATTATACTTTTCTAATTGGTAGGTCTTGTCCTTGTGAATACAATAAATACCACTCCTTAGTATTTATAGTGACATTAGTGTCTGCGATCATAAATTAAATTACTCTTCACATTCAACATTGCTTACCAAGATTAGTTAAGGGTACTACAGCATATCGCCTACTTGATATAACTTGCCCTTGAACTATCTAATAGTAACTGGTAGGACAGTTATTATTATGTTGGTCTTGATCTGGACACAGTCTCTTTTGGGACTACATGTAAGGGCTAGATGTTTTTAACGTGTGAAACCATAAACTATCTAAAAAGTAAGGAACCCTTCTGGGTATTTATAAATATTCTTTTCTTAAGAAAATTATCTTATTCTAACCTAGTAATTTGCTTTTGGATATCTGTATCATGTAGCTTGGGTGGAAAAATCCAGGTGACCTTAGAAATACCCCAGAATTAAAGAGATCTGATGAGTATTCTTAGTTTGATGGGGTTTATACTTGGAATATGACAATTATAATATTTTATGAAAAATAAATAGGTTAGTAGAAGGCACAGTGGTGTGCTATATTAAGGAAGGGTAGCCTGCCTTAAAAATATGTTAACCTAAAAGTGGAAACCTAGGAGAGAGTCTTTGGGTAATGATCAAAATAGGAAGGTAATAAAGCTCTGTTATAACAAGACTAGAGGCCTGGTGCACAAATTTGTGCACGAGTGGGGTCTGGCTGACCTGTCCAGATGGGGGGCCAATCAGGGCGGGCCAGCTGGAGAAGGAGGGCGTGGGCAGTTGGCTGGCTGGCCCCACCCCCATTGGGGTGGGGGACTGATCGGGAGCGGGGCCAACGGGGGTATGGGCTGTGAGAAGTTAGGGGGGCCAGTCATGGCCCCAGTGAGGCCGGTTGGCCACCTCAGTGCCCATCATAGTGACTGGTTGTTCTGGTCGTTCCGTTGTTCTGGTTGCTTGGCTCTTATCTATAATAATAAAAGTGTAATATTCTAGTTAGACCCAACATTTTTAGGACAACCTTTCAGATGAAGCAGGGGCTGCAAGGGAAGCCCGGGTCCCAGGTGCCTGCCAGCAGCCAAAGGGAAGACCGGGTCCCTGGTGCCAGAGGGAAGCCAGTGCTGGCAGCCCAGGTGACGGGAGGCCTACTCTTGCGCAAATTTCGTGCATTGGGCCTCTAGTATATATAGGTAATCCTACATACTGCCTATCCAAGGGGAGAATATAGGTGACACTAATTAGAAAAGTTATTCTGAATCTAAGGGAATCCATAATGTTGATGAATTGCAATTGTGTTATCATTTGGTGGCCTACCTTTTTGAAAACTTTCTCTCAAAATGTAGATGAAACCATGAGTATAAGTTATATTTAATCATTAATTCTTAACAATAAGGGAGAAATGCTGATGTTACAATACTAGAAGGAATCTTATATTCTGCAGTTAAAAAAAAAAATCTGAGCAAAGTAGATGAGCAGAGGGCATCTAGATACTTTAAACAAGGCTTTTATGAAGGCCCAAATTAATTACTGGTAATTTGCTAAGATTCTGAAGAAACTTCTATAATTTTTTTCATAGCTACACTCTCTAGTACTGTCGAATTATCATTTGATTGAGGGTGATACATCTAGAAAGAACATTTCCTGATCTTTTCATAATGGAGTAGAGCACTGGCTTTCAAATTTTGTTACTATTTCCATTATCATTTATATAACATTGATATTAAATGATATGATTCTTTTATACCTTTAATTTAGGAAGAAGAGAAAACTGGCATGCTGGCCAATGGTAAATATTGTGTATACTTATGTTTTAGTTTGCAAAAAAAATTGTTCAGCATTTCATCTAAATCTGAATAAACCACTATTTGTGCTTGTTTTTTAATAACTCTAACGAATCAACATTCACAGATTGTCTCAGTAATATGTCTCTTCTGCCTATCTTGAATCCTTCTGTTATATTTAAGAAAATTTCTTTTTTGAAAGCCCAGGACTGAATAGCTTCATTGCTATACTCTACCAAATGTTCAAAGAATCAATACCAATTTTTTAAAAGTCTTACAAAGAACAAGAAGGAATACTTCCAAACTCATTTTATGACACTGAGATCACCTTGATATCAAAATCAGAGAAACATTATGAAAAAATATTCCCATTTAAAATAATATTCAAAAGAATAAAAACTTAAGAATAAATTTAACCAAGGAAGTAATATATATGTACACTGAAAACTACAAAATATCAAAGAAATTGAAGCAGACACAGTAAATGGAAATGTCACATGTACATGATTAGAATTAATATTGTTTTAATGTCCACGCTACCCAAAGTGAACTACAGATAGAGTGCAGTCCCTATCAAAATTCCAATGACATTTTTCAAAAACAATCTTAAAATTCATATGGAACCACAAAAGATCCAAATAGCCAACTCAGTCTTGGAAAAAAACAAAAATGGAGGAATCACATGTACTGTTATTTAACATTTCAAACTGTTACAAAGCTGTAGTAATCAACAGTATGCTATTAGTATTAAAAATAAACATAAATCAATGTAATAGGATAGAATTTCCAGAAATAGAGCTATGTATAAATGGTCAATTTTTGACAAAGACTTTAAGAATACACAGGAAAGAATAGTTGCTCCAGTAAATGGCATTTGGAAAATAGCCATGTACAGAAGATAAAACTGGATCCCTATCCACAACATGTACAAAAATCAATTTGAAATGGATTAAATACTTAAATAATAATATATATTTAGCCTTAAAAAATAAATAAATAAATTCTGCCATTTGAACAACATGGATGAACATGGAGGACATTTAGTTAAGTGTAGTAGGCAGACACAGAAAGACAAATACTATATGATCTCATATGTGGAATCTAAAAATGACAAAAATCATAGCAAGGATAGAATAATGCTTGCCAGGCACAAGATATAGGAAGATGTTGGATAAAGGATGCAAAGTTTTAGTTAATGCAAGATAAAAAATTCTGGAGATTAGTGTGAACTGTAGTTAACAGTACTGTTGCTAAGAGGGGAGATCTCAAGTGTTCTCACCACATGTAAAAACTAAATAAATTTGCTTCATTGTGATAAATATTTCATAAAGTATAAATATATCACATTGTCAAGTGTCGGGTATAGCTTAAGAAAGTTGGTGTATTTGATTTTTCTCAGGCCCTTTACATTCTACATATAAATATACATTAGGTCTATATGTGAACATAGATATGTATGTTAATGTAAACCTACATTTTGTACATAAGGAGAAAATCATGCTCTCTTATTATAGTACATGATTATATATTCTTTATGTGTAAATATCTTTGTTTTTATATGGATTGCCTATGATTAAAATACTTTCTTAAAGGGACCATACAAATTTCTTTATATTCCTAATAATTTTTCTTGTATGTTGTTCTAGTGGTGCTACTTGATTCATTAGATTCTGTTGCAGAGGTCAACCTTGATGAACAAGGTAAAGCAACTACGGTGCCAAAGGTTCTGCCCGAAATAACTGACAACGAAATGACAGGAACAGGTAAAAATGTTTGAAAATTCAATATTTTCTAAATGTGTAATATTTTATGACTAATTGACTTCATTTATACATAATAGATAATAACTATATCTATCTATCTATCTATCAAGCCTAAGCAACTATTACGAACAGAATGACCAGTTTACCAGTCGCTATGATGCGCACTGACCACCAGGGGGCAGACACTCACTGCAGGAATTGCCCCCTGGTGGTGACTGTGGTCCTATAGCCAATCTTTCAAGACCCTAACCCCCTGCCCAGCCAATCTCCCACGGCCCCTCCTCACTAGCCAGCCATCCTCCCGTGGTCCCACTCCCTCGCCCTAATGGCCCCCCTGACCAGCCCCAATGCGGGGGCTGGTTGACCAACCTTCCATTGCCCCTTCCCCTCTCGGCTGACCAACCTCCTGGGGTCCCACCCCCCAGCCCAAACTATAATACAAGTCTACTCAGACCTCTTTTCTAGTCACTGCCATTCTAAGAGTCACCACTATCTTCACTTGTTTCACCCTTTCCGTTTTAAAATATAAATATATAAAAGTCAAAAACTACAACAGAATTTTCCCATCAAGACAAGTTACTCATTTACTTGTTATTACCTGAGTATTCTGCTAGTATTACTGCTGTTTATTTAAGTTCATTTCATTTATGTGCTTTGATAGTAAATCCACTTGCAGAGTTTTCAGTAAGCAGACATGAATTCTTTTAAAAGACCAGTATAGAGCTGTAGTTTTTTCTAATCAGCAATACTTTATACTGTCATGTATGTACAGTATGGCAAGGAAAACTTTGTTCTAAGATATGCATGAAAACACAGCAAGAGGCAAAGTTCTGACTCTGATAGTCTTCAGAATCAGAACTTTGCCTACAATTAAATAAGTGGCACATTTGAGTATTTAAATTACTTCTTTTACAATTTTTAAGTTTTAAAGCACATTTAAAAATGACATTTCAACCAAACATCTGTGGAACACATGATTTTCTCTGAAATACCATGATTTTATAAAATACAATATGAAAACCACTGCTGTAGGTTATTTTAAAAAACTCAAAAATAAAAATAAAAGTATTGCTAAAACTAAAAATTCTTTTGAGATGATCCAAGCAGTTATATAAAGCTATAATTTTTTTGGTATTATTTCTTAAGTGTTCTTGCCTCTAAAATATTTTGATGTCACTTTATGGAATATAGTAGAGTATGAACTTATGGTCATGTACACTTCGATTCTTATTCTCATCCTTGCCAATTATCACTTGGTTGACACTGGACAGTTTATGCTTCCAAACCTGTTTTTCTTTAAAATTAGACCTTGTAATGGTCAGCTGTGGTAACATGTTGTGTAGTACATTGTTAAGATTTAACAAGAAATAACAACTCTGTGGTTGTTAACATTATTATAATTTAATAGTACTAAGTTATAATAAAGAACCTGAAAGTATCTATAATAATAAGAGGGTAATGTGCTAATTAGACTGAGCATCCTTCCAGACATCATTCCGGACGTCCTCCTGGACAAAGCAGGGGCTGGAGGGAAGCCCAGTCTTGGGTCCCAGGTGTCTGTCAGAAGCCGGAAGAGGGAAGCCCAGGTCCCGAGTGCCTGCCAGAGGCTGGGTCCCTGATGCTGGAGGAAGCCAGTGCCAGCAGCTGGGGGAAGGAAGGCCTAATCTTGCACGAATTTCATACATCAGGCCTCTAGTTATAGTATAAATCTGATTAGCTGTGGGCTATTGAATTTACCTGCTACTTCAGAAGTACACTTGAAATTTTCAAATGAGTATCTGAACTTGGGTTAAGAACTGAAAAGATAAGTGAAGTTTCAGTTTTTGTTTTTACCATGCTTCTAGAATTAAGCCGGCTCATATTAGGTGCAGCATTGTCAAAGATCATCTTTTAAAAATAATATGGATGAAATTCTTGTGTTTTATTGAAAAAAAGGTTGGTATTTATAGAAGAGAGTTTTCCCCTAACACCAGTCTTCCATTTGTTTTCATTTGTCCCTCGGGCAGCACCGTACTGTGCTATGGCTGCATGACCGGAGCAGTCACAAGGTGACAGTATTGCTCCACAACCTGATGCATGCCTCTGCAACTCAGCGTTTGACCTGTCTCAACTTTCTTAAGTGGACAAATATAAGCGTTTTATATAAAAATATATGATGATAATAATATATGAAATAAGCTACATAGAATACTCTCCTTTTAATGTAAAAGGCAGACTGGTCAGGCCTTTTCTCATAAAGGGCATGAAAAAAGTTAACTTGTATGACTCTTGAGATATTTTAATATCACTTTGGTAAATTTAGGAGAAAAGTATCCCTCCCTGCTCTGTTTCCTGAGCAGCACCTAATACCTCTCTATCCTCTACTTTTAATTTGTAACTTTTAGGTCATTTGTTTTTCTGCACATTTGTTCTCCTGTTTCTTTAAAGCCTTGAACCTCTTCTTTCGGAAACCTCATACCTGATAAATTAGGTATGATCATTCAGTACCGCTGTGCTATTTACCCTTGGGGTAATTTCTTTTATATACTGGTATATCTGCAGATACTTAAGTATTTAGGATATTTCTGTAGAGGAGAAAAGAAACACCTTTGCCTTTTTTTCTTTCTTCATAAAGATCAATTCTCTTCTTTAGTCATGCTACTCAGTGTGACAGATGGTTAGGGGAAGAGTTAGGCTTACTTAATAGGCAAGATCTTTTTCAAGTCCTATTTAAAAATCCCTGCCACTTGTCACTTAACTGTTCACAATTCTGCTCTAAGTATCCCTCCTTTTTGTTTTAATTTTTTTTAATTATATTTTTATTGATTTCAGAGAGGAAGGGTGAGGGAGAAAGAGAAACATCAATGATGAGAGAGAATCATTGATCTATTGTCTCATGCATGTCTCCTACTGGGGATTAAGCCTGTTGTGATGTATATTGGTAGGCCCATAACTATATATTACCTAGTTTTGTACTTAACTCTGTAATGTCATCATTGTCCTATGTCTTGTTCATCATTCTTCTCAGATTAAGAGATGACATTAGTGTAATATATATTTCTCATGTAATTGTGGGATTATACTGGAGATTACATTAATTTTAACAGGTGTTTCTTTTGGACAAAGCAATAGTGATATTGAAGCTCTTCATCAGGCTTATTGTCATATAGCCCATTCCGTGGCCCATTCCTTGGGAGATCTTGATAAACAAAATATTGAGACTACTGCCATGGAAAATGTCAAGAGCTCAGAGAAAGATCATACTCAAGAAAATGAGGAGTCCTCCAAAAACATCTCTACTACGGAATCTGGTAAAAGCTTATTTAAGATCCTCTCTGAACAGTTTCCAATTTAGTGTAATTTGGACACAATTTTCTGTAGTGATTATTTCTCAATCTCTGAGTTTATTTTAAACAGTTTGTTCAAGTGAAATCTGGAAGTCAGTGGTTTAACTATAAAGTTAGAGGTGAACATGGGATAAAATTTCAGTTTCTTTTCTAATCTGCTTTGACTAAATTAAGAAATTACTGAATTGTTTTCACATTTTTTAATCTTTTCCATGAACATAGACTAAAGTTATTTTTTAAATAGAGAACAGTATTTAGGAATCAACTAAATACATATTTAGCAAAAAAAAAAAAAGTGTACATGACTCTACCAAGATACATATATTTGAGACTTGTATATCTATGCATTAAATATATAATTACATATATTTCAAATATAACTATCAAAGGAAATTGTCTTGGTACGGGAAGTTTACAGTGGGTTTCTTGTATGAGTCATTTTGTTAACTAGTATGTCAATTGGAGAAAAAGTAATTTTGTTGATATGAGACATAAAATTAAGCAAGTGACCTAACATTTATAGTTGCTATTTTAACATTTTTCCCTCTTAGATCTGCCCACAGTAGAGGAACTGATGAAAACTATTAGAATAGATTCCTTTGGTATCAGTGGTTTGGAATTACAATCTGTAAGGTATGTGTTCTTTTAATTGGATTGTGCAAGTTATTTGATTGTTCATTGTTTTGTCTGGAAAATTGTAGAATCATTTTTCTACATTATCATTCCTAGTGAATGATTAATGTGTAACTTGTATGTGTCTATGTATGAGCCACTGCTCTCTTCTTTTTAAATTACTTTTTACTCAATTAATTCATCAAAATTCTCCTAGTGCTAAAATAAGAAAATAATAGATAAGTGCCATTAAGTAGTCTTAAAGCTTTTTATTGAAAAAATATAATTTCTTCAGCTTTAAGTAGCTCAGGGACAGTTGATTTTGAATGAAGGGATGGAAAATGAATTTTATTCTATATATGAGTCATAGATCTTTTTGTTTATAAGCCAGTTAGTTTTATAATTAGTTGTAGACTGGCCATCATCTCACAGGATGAGTTTGGACACAAGAGAAGTGGACTTGGAGAAAATGCTCCCGCTCTTGTACAGAATAGCACATCACAATAACCTCATCATGAAACAACTTTGCATTTGTGTGTCACTTAGAGTGTCAGATCCATTATCTCATGTGCTTTTAGAACAAGTAGGACAGGCATCCTTAGTCCCCATCATTCAAGTGATGAAACTACAATAAAGTCACTTCAGTCATGAGCTGTCACAGCAACTGGATGATGATGATAATGACGATGATGACAACCAGTATTTTTATCATATATTCACTGTGGGCCAAGTGCTATGCAAAGTTCTTTACATACACTATTATATTTAATCTTAACAGCAACTCCATGAAGTTTATTCCATTATTATCTTCATTTCATAAGTAAGAACACTAAACCTTAAAGGATACAAAGGAAGTCCATGTGTTTAACCATTTACATTATCACATCTGTGATGTCCACGAAATATGTCTGTGAAAAGTCTATTCATTCATTTATATTTTAATAAACACCTTTTGAGCCCCTTGTATTACATCTTCATCATGGAAATCCACTTGCAGTGATTTCTTGGCCTTGTTTCTACATTTACATTAGTTGAGCAAAAATGATACAGTAAAACTTACACTAAAACCCATCTACTTGCATGCTAAGTCTCGTATTCTTCCACTGATCTTCATAGTGACTGGTTGGTCTGCCGCTCCATCTATTTGCATATTAGCCTTTTATTATATAGAATTACAGAATTAAATTACCTAATTGACCATGATTAAATAACTTGAAAATAACAATATCCATAATTGGAGTCCCCATAATATGCTGATCTTTAACAACATTTAGAACATCTCAAGGGACATTTTCCATATTTTTTTAAATCTAATGGTCTGAAATGTTACATTGCATTTAACTGTTTTAAACCACAGGAATTATTTTATTTCAAAATCCTTGTGACTTTTACTTGAAAAATTTTCCTTCACTGTGTTGAAATGTATGCCTTTTAACATTTATATTCTGTACCTCATTGACATATGTAAATTATGATTGCTTCTTTAGTTTCTTCTAGACATGTATAAAATGCTTTTTCTGCTACAAATGCATGTTGACCTTATAAGTATAGTTAAACAATATATTATTAAAAATTCACATAGAAATTTATATTTTATTTTTTCTTATACAAAAGCAATCTTAGTCTTGTTTGGCTTGGCTTTCCTTTGAAGTAGGCCTCAGAATCATTCATGTTTTCCCTTATACTGCATTAACATTATTATTTAAAAATCAAAACTATTATACGATACTATGTGAGTATGCTCTATTGACCAGAATTGTAAATAAGGTGTTGCATATTAATTACCTAATTTGAATAATTATACATATTAAATATGTATGTATATAAATAGTGTGTGTTAATAAAACTGATATTTGAGGAGTCATGGAGTATATATGCTCTGTGTCCTATTTTGTTTTACAGCTATAAAAACCAGGCTGGTAGTAAAGAAACTGAATTCATAAGCCCCTTACCCCTTAAGATGAAGCCAAATGTGTCTCAAGAGCTACAACATGTGAACCAATTATTTGACAAAAATGAAGAGAATGTGGTTTTACAAAAGACAACAAATGAAAGTATAGAAAATTGCTGCCCCATAGTAAATACTACAGAAGAATGTATAGATAAAATGTACCTTGACATTTTGCGGAAAAAATTATCTGTTGCTCCTTCAGTGTTACCTCAGGAGGACAAAATAAAGAAAGTAAGTGTTTATAATTAAATTAATTTGACATATTGATAAATGAAGGTATATAAAATTATATAAGTGTTCTTGATACATAAGTACTTCTTAAGTTTATAGGATTGATTACTTAACCAATCTCCACATAGATCCTGGATATTAGTGAGCAATATTTGTTAAAATAGCCTGCAGTCCCCAAATTTAAAGTACCTCTAAGGCATTAGCTTTCTATTAAAGGCCATCATTTATTTGATTAATTTTTTTTAATAAGTATAGTCTAGCATTTGAGTAGCATAATAAAATAAAGTTTATTCGTCATTCTAGTGCTTTTCATTTAATCTTTCCAGTAGTCTGTTCTGCAAGAGTAGGTTAAGTTGGCATTTCATATCAATGCTATCAGAAATTTTTGAGAAACTTGTATTTCATTGTTCCTTTTTCCTGTACCCTTGATCTATTCTGATTTATAGATTCATGATTCCAATATTTTTACTTTATAATTTGGAATTATGTGTTTATCATAAACTATCTCGCGTTTTTTGTGTGGAATAAGGCAGTGTATGAAAAATTTTTTTTAATCTTGAGAAATCTGGAGGAAAAAGTAAATAAAATTTGTCTTTTCAAAATATGTTCTCATCTTCGTGTTAATTCTCATAATTACACATACTGCTTTCTGGTAGGCTTATTTTGTATTTTGCTTTGTTTCACTCCCAACTTAAAGATGTGCTGCAAAATATGAGAATTCTGATGACTTGGACTTAGGGAATTTTAATGTAGTGGTTTGCCTTTAGCAAACTATGCTATTTAGTAATCACTATGATTTTGCCATCTGTTAATTCTTCATTTTCAACTATAGTTGAAATTTATTTAAGTACTAAAGAGTTTGTACTTGTTATATGCAGACTTTTAGATCTCAACTCAGTTCTGGAGAAGGGGCTGTAATTGATAAAGAAGTACCATACAAGAAAGCCAGAAGTGCGCCTCCTTTACTTAAAAGAAAGCCCCAGAGTGGTGTATATGCATCAGTTAGGAGCTCGGGCTATGGAAAACCCAGTTCACCATGTAAGACTTCTACTCTTGAAAAGAAAACTTCAAAGGACATGATGAAAAGCAAAAACTTGAAATCCATTCTCACCTCAAATCAAGGAAGAAAAAAAGGTCATCATTATATACTCTTTTCATAATAGAGTTCTGTTTTTTATACAGTTGACCCTTGACCGTGAGTTTGAACTTCGCAGATTCACTTATATGTGAAATTTTTTCACTGTAAATGTACTTTCCTTATGATTTTCTTAATAACATTTTCTTCTCTATAGTTTATTCTAAGAATACAATATGTATTATATATAACATACAAAATATGTGTTGACTTTAAGTTATCAGTAAGGCTTCTAGTCAATAGTAGTCTACTTGTACGTAAGCTTTTGGGGAGTAAAGTCATGTGAATTTTCAACTGCATAGAATAGGGGTGTCGAACTCAATCAGAGAAGGGGCCAAAATCTAAAATCCAGCCTAAATCGCGGGCCGAATGGTTTACTGAACAGTCATAAACTGTCATTGTGATGGAAACGCAGCGGAGTGCAGTGATGACAGCGCGGTGCGGGCCACATTGCAAGGCCTGGCAGGATGGATTTGGCCCGCGGGCCTTGTGTTTGACACATGTGGCATAGAAGGTTGGCACCTCTAACCCCTGAATTGTTCAAGGGTCACCGATAGTGTATTATTTAACCTTCCTTGTTCCTTACTTTTCCTGTTTCCTTCTCCCCTTCTGTGAACTTTCCTTATTCACAGAAAAGAATTCACTTTAAGTACACATTCCATTTCTGAAAGATTCAATTTATAGAAGGTTTTTCATCATTACTTCTGGGTTTTCCTGAATGATACCCAGAAAATATGGGATGTGAATATTATAAGATAGGAAAGTCAAACCTCCTGATCTGGTTGGCTCTGATATAGCCAGTGTTTACTAGAGCTATAAATTCAAAATGCAAATGGTTACCTACAAATAAAGGTTTAAACATTGTCACGACATTAGTTCAGAATAGACTTGGAGAGGCAGGATATTTTATTTATAATATATTGCATATTTTATACATCACAGTGCTTTTATTTCCTAATGTAGTCATTTATATTGACAGTTGGAAAGGGTAATTTTTAACTTGGAACCAATGCAACTATTAAAGAGAAATGTTCAGGTCACAGAAATATTTCTGCTGCCTTTAGACTCCAGTGGAAAAGGCAGAGTAATAATAGAGCCAGAAACATTTTGGCCCTTCCTTTGTTGTTAAATTATATAAGTAGGTGAGTGATTTCATCATTGTAATATTGTGATAGTTGTCCAAGAACTGACCTCATTGGAAAAATTATTTCCAGCTTCAAGTACCTTCCCCTGCCTTTCCTTACAGCTATTCATTTCAGGACCACTTTGACTGTATAGGCATGTCTCATTTTATTGGGCTTCACTTTATTGAGCCTCACAGAAGTTATGTTTTTTACAGGTGGAGGGCAAGACCCTCCACCAACACAAAGATTACAACTCACTTTATTGTAATACTCACTTTATTACAGTGGTCTGGAGCCAAACCCACAGTATCTCCAAGGAATGCCCATCCTATATAATAAAAGGCTAATATGCAAGTCGACCGAATTATGGAATGATCGGTAGCTATGACATGCACTGACCACCAGAGGGCAGACACTCAATGCAGGAGCTGCTTCCTGGTGGTCAGTGCACTTCCACAGGAGAGCGCCACTCTGCCAGAAGCCAGGCTCATGGGTGGTGAGCACAGTGGTGGTGGTGGGAGCCTCTCCTGCCTCAGTGACATGTCTGACTGCTAGCTTAGGCCCGTTCCTCAGGGTGAGTGGGCCTAACCATTAGTCGGACATCCCCCGAGACTACAAGAGAGGGCAGGCTGGGTTGAGGGGACCTTCTCCTCTCACTCCCCCTTCCCCCTGCAAATGCACGAATTTCATGCACTGGGTCTCTAATATTTAAATGTTTTTATGCATCAAAGACTCTTCTGTCTTCATGGATATGTTTTCACTGTAGTAACCTGTGCATATTAGATGGAAAGACTAGGGCTGGTCTGTGTCAGATTGAAGGAGAATAGCAATAGAGGTTGATTATTCTTGAGAGGAAGGAATATGATTCTGTTGGATTAACGTAAGCACATTCCTGTTCCTAATCTAGGAACCTCTATTCCCTTCCCCTCAGTAGTCTTTTGTGTTCTCTTTCATCTTGCTTTTGTGTGGAACATTTGCTTGAAATGTTATCATCTACTCAGTTAACAATTAACCATTCATTGGATCTAGTACTTAATATTAAGAAAAGATTCTTGGGATGTTTATCAAATTTTAGAATCATCAAGAAGAGTATAAAAATTTTCATTGATGTTTCAGTATTCATTTTGTACTTCAGGGAGGAAGAAAATGAAATTTTGTTTTTAATATTATTATATTTATTTTAGATTAGCCCTAAACATTTTTGAAGTTTACTTTATCCAAATTTATTCATTTAACAAATATTTTTTCAGCACCTTACCTTGGTCCAGGCACTGATAGATACACCAGTAAACAAAATGGGCAGAAAACCTCCCCTCCTCAATTTTCTGAAACTTCTCATTGGATGAGGAGAAATAGACATTTAACAACAAGCATAATAATTAGTAAATGATATTATGAGCTAAGGAAAAGAAAAAGTAGAGCAACAGTGTCAGCGGTGGAGTACGGCAGGTCAGTTTTAGACAAGCTGGAGTAGGCCTCCTTGAGAAAGGTATTTGAATAAGGATTTGTGGGAGGAAAGGGAATTGCCACGTGGATATTTGGGAGTAGCATACTCCAAAAAGAAACAGCCAGTGAAACGGTCTGAAAGTAGGGAGGAATGCCTGGCATGTTCCAGGAACCTCATAGAAGCCTCATGTGGCCAAAGCAGAGTGAACAAAGAGGGTGGGTAGTAGGAGATGAGATCAGAGAGGTAGAGGCAGGCATACATAGGTATTCCGAGGGCATTTTAAAGACTTCTAATTTTACTGTGAGTGAAAAGGTGAGCCACTAAAAAGTTTTGAGCATGGGAGTGACCTATCTGACTTATCCTTTAGACAGATTTCTCTGGCTGCTGTGTTACAGACCATATACATACATACATAGGGGACTGGACGAATGTTTTAGGGATCCAGGCTAGAAGTAATGGGGTTTGAACCAGCTGGTGTCAGTGCAGGTAATGAGAGGTGGTTAGATAGGATTACATTTAGAAGACAGAAACAAAAATCTAAAATACTTGTTTGAGGTTTAGAAAGAGGAGTCATGGATGATGCCAATGTTTCTGGCTTAAAAAAACCATAAGAAGAGTTACTATCCAGCTGGGTGAGGAAGCCAAGAGTAGAGGAGATGTTGGAGTGTAGAGAAGATCAGGCATCTAGCTGTTTATTGTTTGGGGATGTCTGTTCTGTATGCAAGTGGAGATGACTAAGAGGCAGTTAGAAAAGTCTGGAGTTCAACAGGGAGGTTTGGACTGAAGATATAATTTGGGAGATGTTAAAAATATTTTTTTTAAGCCATGAGACTGATAAAGATTTTCAAGAGAGGGAGCATAGTTAGAGGGGAAAAAGCCAACCAAGGCCTGAACAAACATTAAGATGTTAGGGATAGGATGAGTAACAACAAAGAAGAGAGTGAGGTTGGAGGAAACCTGAGTATGTGGGATCCAAGTGAAGAACATGCATAAAGGAGAACTGATCTGCTCCATCAACCTCTGCTGGGAGAAAAAGATGAGGACTGGCAGCTAGCCCTTGGGATTAGCAAGGAGGAGGCCATCAGTAAGTTCGGCAAGTATTTTCCATGGATATGTGGCTGTAAAAGGCAAATAGGAGTGGAATTGGATATTTCCAGTTATAGACCACCCTGGAGAAAGGATATAAAAGGCAGGGGAAATGGTCAGAAGCTGTCATGCAAGTAGAGTCAAGAGAAGCCTTTATTTTTGTTTTGCTTTGTGTGGGGTGTTTTTTGTTGTGTGTTTTTTTTTAATAAGGTATTATATGTATATATATCTTACCATTGGCCCCCCCCACCCCACTCCCAAACATGCCCTCACCCCCAAGCATTTTGCATCTGTTGGTTATGCTTGTATGCATACAAGTCCTTCAGTTGATCTCTTATCTCCCCCACCTCTCCCTAACCTTCCTGCTATAATTTGACCATCTGTTTGATGCTTTACTGTCTCTGTTCCATCTTCTGTTCAACGGTTTATCATGTTATTATCCATAAATGAGTGAGATCATGTGTTTTTATTTCATTGACTGGCTTATTTCACTCAGCATGATGTTCTCCAATTCCATCCAGATTGCTGCAAATGGTGAGAATTCCTTCTTTTTTATGGCAGCATAGTATTGCATTGTGTAGATGTACCATAGTTTTCTGATCCAGTCATCTGTTGATGGGCACCTAGGCTGTTTCCAAATCCTAGCTATTGTAAATTGTGCTGCTATGAACATAGGGGTGCATATATCCTTTCTGATTGGGGTTTCTAGTTTCTTAGGATATATTCCTGGGATTGAGATTACTGGGTCAAATGGGAATTCCATTTTCAGTTTTTTGAGGAAACTCCATACTATTCACCGTGGTTGCACCAGTCTGCATTTCCACCAGCAGTACACGAGTTTTCCTTTTTCTCCAGAATTTTTAGGGGTGTCGAACTCAATCAGAGAAGGGGCCAAAATCTAAAATCCAGCCTAAATCGCGGGCCGAATGGTTTACTGAACAGTCATAAACTGTCATTGTGATGGAAACGCAGCGGAGTGCAGTGATGACAGTGCGGTGCGGGCCACATTGCAAGGTCTGGCGGGACGGATTTGGCCCGCGGGCCTTGTGTTTGACACATGTGCTCCAGATCCTCGACAATACTTGTTTGCTTTGTGGATGATAGCCATTCTGACAGGTGTGAGATGGTACCACATTGTTTTGATTTGCATCTCTCGGATAATTAATGACTTTGAGCATGTTTTCATTTGCCTTCTGTCTTCTTTTGAAAAGATTCTATTTAGGTCCATTGCCCATTTTTTTATTGGATCATTTATCTTCCTATTATGAAGTTGTATAAGCTGCCTGTAGATGTTTTTAATCGAAGAAATAGTATAAATTGTATGTTTCTGCTTTTTGGAAAGATTCAGTAAATAAGAAAACATTCATGATGGAGAAAGGGAGAAGAATTGCCAGAGCAGTGTCCTTGAGTAGAGGAGCAGTAATGGGATCTGGTGAACATTCAGAGGGTTGGCTTTAGATAGGACATGGGCCGTTCATCTGTGGAAGCAGATAGGAAGGGGGAGGCTGTGGGTACAGATGCTAGTAGGTGGGGAGAAATGGTGAGAGAATGTGGATTATTTCTTCTGATTGCTTTCATTTTCTCTGATAAATAAAATGCAGTGTTATTAGCTGGCAGTGAGGATAGGTCAGGGGAATTGGAGGAGGGAGGAGAGATGTGAAAGAGTTAACTTAAATCATTAGATTGCCATCAGCATAAAGTGTCTACTTCAAGTATCGTGTTTCCCCGAAAATAAGACATCCTCCAAAAATAAGACCTAGCGCATGGAAAGATAAGACATCCCCTGAAAATAAGACCTAGCACAACTTTGGGGAAAAAATTAATATAAGACACTGTATATTTTCGGGGAAACAGGGTAGGTGATCATGAATTTAAATTGCAACAGGGTAGAGGGTGTGTGTTTGTCTATTTATGTGTGCACAGCCCATGTTTTGCTGCATTATTGCAGGTGTAGTTGTATAGCTGAATTTACCAGGAGGAGTGTTTTTTGCCAAATGTGTATAATACAATGAACTAAGAGGGCATTAAGAAGGTAATGAAGGAAAAAAGGACATTAAGGGCTGTGAACAGTTAGAAAAAGGTAGATTCAACAAACTGAGTCCTAATGGAATGGAAGATAGCGTCTCCATTTTGGAATTATTTTGATTGGTTTCTTATTTGACTGAATTTTCGTAATTGTTTTTTTCAAGAAGGGCTCATGGGTTCCAAATTCTGTTTTCATGCTTGAATTTTTATCTAAATACATTTCTTTTATGTATAAAGAGAGAAAATACTGTCCGCATATTATTGGAAAATAATTACTTAACGAAATAAAAATTAAGAACTTAGGGAGAATTCTGGTGTAAAAGCAGTGACTGACTACACCTTGAACAAGATCCACCTGTCCGTCTTGGCTGCCCTGTCCTAGGGAGAATCACCATCCCAGCAAATCACAACCCAGTCATTTGCCACATTCATGGACCTTCAGTGATCTGGAGGGATTAGGGTCTGCTTTTCTAATGACTCAATTTCTTACAGAGTACTTTAAGAAATTTCTCCAGAAAACCTAAATCAAATAGTCCAGTTAAACATGATTACTACTGTAAGGAAAATGTCTAAAAAGATTGCAATCTTTAAGTGAGGTACTATTGGTAAACTGTTTCTTCTTTAGACTTTTCTTTTTCACATCTTTAATAACCATGCATTTCAAATTCTTCATTCTTAGAGAAGGCAGCAATTTTTAACAATATGCCGTAAGGATTTTAAAATTTGTAATACCTGACTATTTATCAGGGGCCACTGACTTCTTTTCCCTGGGATTGTCAAATTAAAAAAATGACAATAGCCAACAAAATAATAGCTATCCAGTGTCAGTGAATCAAATATTTGTGTCAGATAGGCAAAAAATATACCGTTTCCCCGAAAATAAGACAGAGTCTTATAATTTTTTCTCCCAAAGTTACGCTAGCTCTTATTTTCAGGGGATGTCTTAACTTTCCATGCGCTAGGTCTTATTTTCGGAGGATGTCTTATTTTCGGGGAAACAAGGTATTTGTGTGTGTGCACAGAAATTTAGTTTATGTGTGCCATAAGATAAAGGCTGAAAATCACTGCTTTGAATATGGACTTCAAGATCTTTTATATGTATTTCCCTTAATTTTTTTTTATTATTAACTGAATTTATTGGCCTTATAATCATTTCTACTGTTTGGGATTTACATGATACTTAAAAGCTGAAAATTTGACCTGATTCTACAGTAACTACTTTTTTTTTCTAATTGAATATATATTATCTGGGTATTAGAGCAGTATTATATCTTTTAAAATCGGTTTTGACTAGCTGTTATCAAGTTCTCATGCTATTTTTATTATTTCATTAATACTATGATATCTTGATACTGTACTTATAAAAAGTTTGTTTTAAAAGTACACTTAATTTCCACCAGTATTTCATAAAGTTATTAGCCGCTCTTTAATTGTTTAGATATTCTTACTTAGTGCTGTGAACTTAAAAAAAGATTTAAGGTAGCAAAACCTGACATTATTACATTTATTAACTCCATTTGTCATTTGACATGAATCTTAGGTCTATTAACCTTCTGTGTCAAATTGAGTAGAATGTTGATTATGGGCAACAGTTCTGAGTTTAGTGTTTTATACATCAGTCTTTTTAAGATCCTATTTATCTTATTGTTATGTAATTGCTCAATTTGACTGAATTTTCATAATCCATTGTTTTTGGATTGCACATTCAACATTGTTTGCATTTGTGGTGTTTTTATCTCTGTCTTCAATATTTAGAAATCTTATCTGAAACAAAACTTAAGCCTGCTGCATTCGGTAAACCAGTTCCCAAAACTTCAAGTTGCCTGGCTACTCCTAAGAAGTCTGAAGATGCTACAGAAATTGGTTCCTGTGTTCATTTTCAAAATGTAGGTATTAAATTTTAAAACAATATTCATTATGTTTTTATGTTCTAAAATCATATTAAAACCAAATTATAAGTAATTAAGTATATGAAACTTTTTTGCTTCAAGTGTTCACTCTTATTGAACAGGTATTGCTTTTCTTATTAATTAGAACATTATTAACCTTGTCATTTTATTTTGTCATTTTATTCTTTGTGGGGTTTTTGTGTGTCTTTGAATCTTATATGTAAAACTATAACAAAGTAATGCTTTTATTTAAAAGGATTCTTCAGGATATCGTGATGGGAACATGGACACAGAATCAATTATGTTTAAAAGAGTTCAGGAAGCAGAGGAAAAATGGAGGGGTGCACAAGCCTTAATTGAGCAAATTAAAGTCACATTCTCCGAAAAAGAGAGAGAGTTAGAAAATAAGGTGGAAGAACTAAAAAGACAACAGGAAAAGGAACTCTTCAAATTGAGTCAGGACAATTATATTCTTCAAACCAAGGTACTAGACACATCGTTCTATTCTTTTTTATTGGTCAAAATAAATGCATTGTCACCTTTTTTTCCTTTGGGCTTTTTGGCTTGATGTATTTGCTGAATAAAAAACATAAGCATAGTTCCTGAGAATGCCGACTTACACAGGAGTCTAATTCCATTGAGTGGGGATCAAAATACATATATTATTAGCTCATTTTGATATTTTTCTTCTTTTAGCAGTCCTCTTTAAACTAAATCCCTTAGTTCAGCAGTCTCCAATCTTTCAGACCTCAGGGATCACCATTGGCAACCACTGCCTTAGTTCTCTGTGACCTTCAAAGAAGGTCAGTTCAGAAAGAACTGCTATAGAAGATCAAAATAAAGAGAATGGCACTCTGTAGCATTTGAGTTACTTCTATTTCAGAACCATCAGCATAAAACGATACTAATGATTTAAATGTAGTTGGTGTTATGTTAATTCTACCATGGTTATAAAACTGTTATTCTTTCTCACTTCATCATTTCTTTCCCCAAATAAAACAATTTCATTTTCTCAAGTTAAATAGCTTTGGAGAAACAAACAAAAAACAAAGGTGGTTACATGTTGGAGAAACAACCAATCCTGTCACTGAAGAAAAATTGAAGCAAATCCAAAAAGAAATACAAGAACAAGAGACACTTCTTCAAGGATACCAACAGGTATGGTGGTTCTTCAGCACATACTGAGGTTGTTCTTGTGATCCTCTGATTGTAGAAACAAGGTATATTAAAATATTTTATTTAACAGGTAATGGGAATTCTGGCAAATACGAGGAAGTGATAATTTGACTAGTCTGCCTGTTTCTCATGGACAGAATTAGAGTGGTTAAGAGCACAGGTTATATATTCAAAGAATCTGGTTTAGACTTAGCTCTACCATCTGCTGTGCAGTCTTGGACAAATGACTTCACTTCTCTAAGCCAATTTTCTCATTCATGAAATGGGGATGATGATAATACCTGTCTTATAAAATTAAAACGGCACAAACTAATCTCTTAGTGCCTGGCACAGACTAACCAATCAATGACTGTTGTTGCCTGTCATTTTTAATAGTCATGTACCTTAAAAACTGCTATTTTCTATAAAGCTTTTCAATAGATAATATTGAATAGTTTTATTCAATTGAAAAATGTGAATCAGTTGACTGAAAAAAATTTGAATTAAAAGGGAGAAAATTTTATATGTGATGGAATCTTGGTGATGTTGACCCAACAGTCAACCAGGATAGGTTCAGTAATCTCCAGCATGAGATTTTGTCTTAGTTTCTTCCCTCCTTTTCTCCTTCTTACTACCTTTTCCTCTTCTGACAACCATAGCTTAAACATTGAGCCTACCAATGGCAAGAATTATCATCCAGGGACATCCCAAAAAAAAGCATTACCACATCAAAGATTACAATAGTTACTATTTAATGTGTTTTTTATTATATTTTTATTGATTTGGGAAAGAGGGATTGAAACATCACTGATGAGAGAATCATTGATCTGCTGCCTCCTGCATGCCCCTACTGGGGATTGAGCCTGCAACCTGAGCATGTGCCCTGACAGGAATCGGACCATAACCTCCTGGTTCATAGGTTAATGTTCAATCACTGAGCCACACCGACTGGGCAAAATAGGACTGATTTTGTAGGACATATTGCCCTTGAATAAGAAGTTTCTGAACCTTGGCCTGCCATTCTGATCTTGCTGTACAGAGCATGGGTTTTTAGGAGGATTTCACAGACCTAAAAGTTTGCCAATCATCCCCTCCCACAATATTAACACACAATTAATGTACCTATATAATATTTATGTATCTTTCCCTGGAGCAGAGAGTTGGAATGTGATTATTCCTACAGTCACTCATCAATTTACTCTTGTGAAATGCAGTATCTCATTCTGACATTAAGCACTTTGGCTTTGGGAATCACTGAACTTTTTTTTTTTTAATAAGCATTTTGAAAAGAATTGTTTTCAGATAAGTTATCTTCTATGATAATAAAGAATTTTTAAAATATTTTGCTTATTCAATAACTGAGTTTTTAAAAACCTTAAAAATGTATAAAGTGTATCTCTTATGAGCATATGTAATTTTCTACTTATAAAAAGGAAAATGAAAGACTGTATAATCAAGTGAAAGATCTCCAAGAACAAAACAAGAAAAATGAGGAACGAATGTTCAAGGAAAACCAGAGTTTATTCAATGAGTTAGCAACCTTAAAGTAAGTCCCTTTTAATTTCTTAAAATAATACTTAGACTATTTCTAAGCACTTTATTGTTATATTAAAAATATATTTAGTTATACTTAGAAAAGAAAAACTTTTATATACTACTTAGAGTTTCATAACTTTTATATTTTGAAAATTTGATTTTTATTTTGGTATTAGATGAGTAATACATACTATAGTATTTCATCATATTTATATTTGAGTTTGGGATCACCTTCAGAAAACTAAACATATAATATTTTCTTGATCGATCATGAAGCCTGAGATGCTGTAATGATAGTAGTGGTAATGCCTTTCATAATAATGCAAAATAAAAATCATACAATGTCACTTACCATCCTAGATCAGGTACATACAAGTAGAGTCTCAGATGGAGATCTTGTGGAGGTGATTCCTAGAGGATAACTCAGGAGAAAAGGAGCAAGATGAGAGGTGGGCAGGGGGAGGGAAGGTAAATGAGTGTGTTCTCAGCTAAGAGAGGCTCCATTCTGCTCTCACCAGGAGGCTTGGGAGAACAGGTTGCACCACATGGTTGGTCCTTATCTGGGGCAAGAGAGGGAAGCCTTTTGTACCCCCAAGCCATTCTGTCACTGATCAAGAGGTGGTTGAGGTACCGTATTTTTCGGACCATAAGACGCTCCAGACCATAAGACGCACCAGTTTTTAGAGAAAGGAAATGAAGAAAAAAGGATTCTGAAACAAATAGTGTCCTAAAATATTTTATGTGCATTAAAACCCAACATCACAGTCATAAACACATGTAATCAACCCTGTAAAGTAAACAGCAGCTTTTAGAACCATTTTAGAGCCGGGCAAGTAAAAAAACTTTTTTTTTAAAGTATATGTGTAGGCTATATTTGGACCATAAGACGCAGGGACTTTTTCCCCCCACTTCTGGGGGAAAAATGTGTCTTATGGTCCGAAAAATACGGTATATCCTCTGAACCAGCAGTAGTCAACCTTTCTGATCTCATGGACCACCGGTTGGCGACCGCTGCTCTGGACCAGGGGGAGGAGTTGCTGTTTATCTGAGGCATTTCTCCAGAGAAAGAGAACCTTGAGTTAATCATCCAGTACTAACCATGGTGAGCTGATGGAGCACGAGCACCAACATAGGAATTACATTGCAGGTCTGTGGGATGTTACTGCATCCAGCTTTCACATACTATCTGCTTTTAGGAAATGACTACCAGTTGTGCATCATTTCACATAAACACCTCTCAGGACTGCTCTAAGAAGCAGCTTTGGCTGTGGATGTCATGAATGTGGTATTCATACTTCCTGCTCTTTTTTGTTGCTGTGTGATAACCCTAGGGCAGTGGTCTGCAAACTCGTTAGTCAACAGAGCCAAATATCAACAGTACAACAATTGAAGTTTCTTTTGAAAGCCAATTTTTTTAAACTTCTCCTAACGCCACTTCTTCAAAATAGACTCACCTAGGCATGATATTTTGTGGAAGAGCCACACTCAAGGGGCCAAAGAGTTGCTTGTGCCTCACGAGCCACAGTTTGACATGCTTGCCCTAGGTCCATGGTCGGCAAACTCAAGGGCTAACATGGGCCTAATAAACGAGGCATGAGGCTCGCAAGGTTGACATGCTTGACCTCGGGTTTAAGAGGCAGGGCTGCTGTTATGTACCTGTGTGGTATTTATGTACTATCTGTACTATCTGATCTTTCATGGGAAATAGAAAAAGTGCACCTTCTAACAGACAGACAAAGCTAGAAGGTATACAGGTTGGCAAGCAAGGCCACTTTTTTGTAAATTAGAAAAGCAACAACTCTCCTTTTCACAGGTAAGTGTGACCCCAGCCCAAAGACAATAATCTGCCAGTTCTGATACATGAAAGCAATTACATCTGCCTTCTTCACAGATGTTTCAATTAAGTATTTAAAAATATTAGATTATATACTACCTGGCTATTAAAAGAGAGCTACTTCAGGATCCAAATCTGAAACTCTAAATGAATTTTCATAATGAAATCAACGGTTTATTTGGTACATTAGGGTTAGATCATTATATATGGATTCTTAAACTTCTTATATAATGTCTCTGGGGGGGAAAAATTGAGCCTAAGGTAAAAATAATAGGCTGTTTGGGTTTGTTAGTTGGCAATTTGTATTTCTCAGAAAGGGGTCTAGAATGATGTGACAGGGAGTACACAGCAGCACATCCTCTGTGACATGGATTTCTTGTCTGGAATTGAGAGGATTTTATAGTTCTCTTTAGTGACTCACTTAGTTTCAGCATTCTTTAGAGTTTTTTAATTTTTAAAAATTGAAAATTTTGCACTGAAAAGAGTACCTTGTATAAAAAAATATTTTTATTTTCAAAATAAATCAGAGAACAGATGCAAAGAAATCGTTTCCTGTCTCAAGTAGTTGAAGATTCAGAGCCCACGAGAAACCAGAATTTTACAGATCTGTTAACAGAACTACGCATGGCACAAGTAAGTGGAATAAGGATTTTAACTGACTATTAACAAAAGTAAAGATTACTATTTTAAAAATTAGCTTATGTGTAAAAACTTTATTTTACAATTTATGAATGAATAAGATCATTTTATAAATTCATACCACTTAAAAATTTAAAAACATCAAAGATTAGCATTTAGCACATACATGTAACCTTCATATAGAGGAAATAGTAATTCTGGTTTAATAGCTGGCATCCCCTTTAATACATAGCCTCTCTTCAGGCATTTATTATATGGAACCACGTTAGAGGCATAACCTTATTTAGTGCATGCATACATTATTTCAAACAGATTCCTCATGAAAAATGTACAGCTTAAATAGAAAAATAATTTGAAGATGATTGTTTACCTTAAAAAACATAGTTGGCTTTTTACCTGTCTTCCTAAGTGGACTATATGCTTGTAGGGGGCAGAGATTATATCTATAAAGATTGTATTTGACATACCTACCACAAAGGTAAAATGGAATAATTATTCCCTATTTTTTCTTTGTTTTTATTAATTGCATTGTATTACTTGCATTTTATTATTATAAAGAATATAGCCTATAATTTTATGGAGTAGTTTTTATCAATGGAGACATTTGGGGCAGGTTAATTTTATTTTAAGCAGAACCATGTCATGTATTGCATAATTTTTATAAGCTCTGTCTGCAGTGCACCCACCAATCATTTTAACAGTCAAAACCACTGCCACAAAAACCATAGCACTAAACTAAAAAGCCCTTCCACTCTATTTGAAGGATTAAACTAGAAAAATTACAACTACATGTCACTGTTTAATCAAATTTATTATATGAAGGGAGGTTATTATTACATGGAAATTTAAACATGCCATCTATAATAATAATAATAGCACCATATGCTAATACAGACGACCTTCCAGATGAAGCCAGGGCTGTGAAGGAAGCTGGTGCCAGCAGCTGGGGGAAGGAAGGCCTCCTCTTGCATGAATTTCATGCATCAGGCCTCTAGTCTATAATAATAAAAACATACAATGCATATCTACTGAACGGCTTTGGACGACTTTCTGGTCAAAGCCAGGGCTGCAGCCTTGGGATTGAGGCAGCCACTATGGCTGCAAGGGAGAGATCAAGGCAGCTGTCGAGGCTGTGAAGGCCTACTCTTCCACAAATTTCATGCATCTAGTAGTTTAATAATTGATGTTTCACGGGTTTTTGTAGTATATAAAATGCAACCTCAAATATGAATTCATTAGAGAACTTTCTTCAGATGTGTATATGTATATGTACAGAATAACTATTAGAGACAAGATACCAGAACATTAGGCGGCTACATCCTTCAGGAAAATAGTGCACTAGGAGAAAATCTACCCACCTTTGTAAGGGGCTGAGATGTCAAGTAAGCTTTTCTGTCTTCACTTGATCTCTAGATAGAGATGGCAGAAAAATCTCATCTGCTTGATGACCATGCTTTCCTGGTTCAGTGTAAATATCATTTCTCCTGCCTTCATTTGTGTTTTAGTGTTTGAATTGACCTTACCTTCAGGGGATGGTCATGCTCAAACAGCAGAAAAATAAACTTCGGTCCCGAGTCAGTGACAACCCCTAACGTGTTAGAAGAAACAAAGCAAAAGGACTCTTAGAGATATACAGCCTTACCGAGCTCACACAGTATTCCTACAGACATTGTGCTCGCAGTGCAAAATTACAAATCCCAGAGAAGCAATCACCTATGAGCAGGCAAGGGACTATTTAATGAGCAGCAGGATTAGCACCCCAATAGGATTACTCAAAAGACTATAAACAAAAAGCCTTAAAATTATTAAATATATTAAATAATGAGTAAAAGAAGGAAACAGACTAGGAAAACAACTCTTGAAATAAAACATATTCCTGAAAACTAAAATGTAAGTGAAGTTAAATAATTATATACAACTGTGGAAAAAATAGTAAACTAAACGATATAGCAAACTAGACGGTATAGTTAAAGAACTTAGAGACAGAAAAGTAGAGAAATGGATATATCAGAAATTTGAGATGTTAGAGTATTTAAATATTTTTAAAAGGTAATGGCTGACCACTTTTCTAGAAATTATAAAAGAGAGGAATTCTGCTTAGGATAAATAACTAAAAACCTATATCTAGGCCCATTATGGTGAAACTACCAAAGGCAGAGAAAACCTTTAAAGAAATTTTAAGAGAGGAAAGAAAAAGTGTTAGTTTAAGGTAAAAATTTTTGGGGGATTTATTTGTGCAAATACCAAAAGGTGGGATATAAATTCACCTTTAATTTTATTTATTTGGTATTTGTGTTTAAATTAATTTTAGAGAAAAATTACTCATATTGGGATAAATCTGTAATATGATATATCAAGTATACTTGTGTACAGTCTAATTTGTATTTTAATTGGCTTAATCTTAACATGTGAGTTGGTTCTTTATAAACTACTAGAGGCCCAGTGCATGAAATTCATACACGGGGGTTCCTCAGCCCAGCCTGCACCCTCTCGCAGTCCGGGACCCTTGGCTCCTTACCACCCACCTGCTCGTTGCCCCTTAGCTCTGCTGCAGAGGCGGGAGAAGCTCCTGCCACTGCTGCTGTGCTTGCCAGCCATGAGCCCAGCTTCTGGCTAAGTGGTGCTCTCCCTGTGGGAGTGCACTGACCACCAGGGGGCAGCTCCTGAATTGAATGCCTGCCCCTGGTGGTCAGTGTGCATCATAGCGACTGGTCATTCTGACCATTCATTGCTTAGCCTTTTATTATATAGACTGGTGGATACATATTAAATACAAAGGTCCTGAACCTTTTCCTTTCAGTATCCAGGGTGGGGAGGAGAATGAGGCTGACCACAGTCATTCATTCTGTCAGTCTTTATTAAGCACCTGCTAGGTACCAGGCACTCACACTGGCCTTAGAAAAACAGTAGGTAAAACTGGATAGTTATAGACCTTGCTCATTAGAACATACTGTATATGGGGGAAAGACAGATAGCAAGTAAACCAATGAAATGATTGCATATAGTGGTCAATTCTTTGAAGAAAGTAAATGTAGAGAATAACGGTGGGTGGGGTGGGGAAGGCAGTATTCTTCAGTTGTGTGGTTGAGGAGGCACTCTGAGAAAGTGATGCCTGAGTTGAGAGCTAAAGAGAAGCAGCAGCTAACTGTAAAAATCAGTCCTTCTAGCCAAGGGAAAGCACAAATCCTACATAAAAAATGGCTGACCTCCCAGAAGCAGAGGCCTCTGAGGCAGAAGTGTGTGAGTCAGGATGAGAGTGGTGGAAGGTAAGGTCAGAGAGGCAGGCAGAGGCCCTATATCTGGATCTCTCACAGTAACATACAAGGGAGGGAAGTACTTGCTAGCCAAAGCCCTGCGCCCACAGGATTGACACGGGCATACTGGCCTTCGTACTGGTGGGAAGTCTCAGTGCCTGGACAGATGCAAGCATAAAATGGACTTCCTTTCAAGCAGTGATTGCATATCGGAACTCAAGATGTTTAAAGTTTCTTTGAATTCTAAAATTCTATAATGCTGTGAAGTATACACTGTAAGAGAACATTTATAAATTGGTTGAATTAATTAAATAAAACAAAGGGTACTTGGAGAAACTCAGTGCTCTCCTGAAAAGACATCTACAGAGATGAAACAGTGAAATGGTTCAGTTAAGTCTGTGATGCAGCTAGAAACCAAGATCATATAATACTTTATGAATGGATTGGTTTTTTTAGTAAGACTAGATTTTAAATTATAAGGAAGTATAATTTGTAAGACTTTTTATTTTGAAACTTAACTATACCAAGTGTACTACCATGAGCCCAATTCAGTGTACATTTATTATCTGCCATGTGCTTAGCCCCATAAAGTAAACAGGTAGTAATAAATCAGTCTTGGTCCCCAGAGAGCTTTCAGCCTAATAAAGAGAAAAGGCGTGTATATAAACAGAAAGTAACAAATGCTATACTGGAGGTAGAGTGAAAGTGTGTGGGGGCGCAGAGGAGGGAATAATCAGGAATAGCCCCATCTGAACTAATCTTTGAAAGATACGGTAAGTATGATTTTGTCAAGCAGCAGGATGGGGCCCATTGAGAATAATGTGGAATGTAGGGCATATTGAGAATTCACTCAACATTTTTTTTATGTGCCAAGCGTATGTCAGGTGTTGAGGAGTGTTGTGAGAAGGAAATAAAGCATTATACCTGGGGGCCAGGGTAGGGGTTGCTATTTTAGAGAGTGATCAGGGAAGGATTTCTGGGGCTTCATTTGAACAGAATTTTTGAAAAGTGAAGGAGCAAGCCACCTGCTATCTGGGGGCAAAGGAAATAGTAAGTACAAACACACTGGTGTAGGAGTGTGCTGGGCATGTTCAAAGAACTAGGAGGTCTCTGAAGTAGAGTGGGAGGGGGGAGATTTGTAGTAGCTGCAGTCAGAAATGTGAACAAGGCTGGGGTATGTGACATTGAAGGTCATGGTAAGAACTTTGGGTCCTTAGAGGATGGCAGCCAGAGAGGTCCTTAGAGGATGGCAGCCAGAGAGTTTCAAACAAAGGAGTGTTATTAACTGACTCTAAAGCAATCCTCTGGTGCTGTAAGGAGAACACGGAGACTGTGGGTGCTGAGAGTTGAAGAGGCAGGTTATTGCAGTATCCAGAAGTTAGAACAGTAGATTTAGAAGGTCGCAATCCTCTGGTGCTGTAAGGAGAACACGGAGACTGTGGGTGCTGAGAGTTGAAGAGGCAGGTTATTGCAGTATCCAGAATTTAGAACAGTAGATTTAGAAGGTCTTTCAGGCTATACTGAGTTAATTGATTAGAACTGATATTAGTAGGCTGTGGGGAGCTATTAATAATTTGGGGTGTGGGGGCGGAGTGTGATAAAAATAAAATCAGAGTTAAAATTTAGGAAAAATAATTATCAGTATTTGTAATAGATTGTGTGAAAGAGACTAGGCTACAATTTATGTTGGTTTAAAAATAATTTGCTTTGGTATTTCTATGAATATCAAGAAAGAAAAAAACAGTTTATTGGAAGACATCAAGAGACTGAAACAAGACAAACAAGCTCTTGAAGTAGACTTGGAAAAAATGAAGAAAGAAAGAGACCACGCCAGAGATCAGGTTGCTTATGTCACAGGTAACACACTGAGCTAAAACAGTTCACCTTTACACTCATAACTGTTGAATCGGGAATTTAAGCAATAGCATTTGGACAGCATAATCAAAATGCTATTCCTTGGAATACATGTAATGTTAGAAACTTTTTAAAATTAGTAATAGGTATGTGTATTTGATTGGTTTTATCAGGGATAATGATAAGATCAAAGAAAATCAAGGTCTTTTTTAAATTTGCGGCATTTTATGTTTAGTTGTTTACATCCATCATCCCAGCTAGATTGTGACCTTTCTGAGGATCTGGTCTGTCTTTTTATCCCCGGGTCTAAAATGTAGGCTCTCAAGTATTTGCCAAACAACAAAAAATACTGCACTATGTTTGTAGAAAACACAAGGATAAATATTGCATTCTCTACTAGGGAAAACAAAAGAAAGTATCGATAAGAGAAGAATGCACACACAAAAAAACACATTAAATATAAAAACATTTAAATAAGAGTTTCTGGGAGGAGTGCATTTGAGCTGGGTTCTGGCAAAGGGTAAGATTCAATTCAGAAGTGAAGATGGAGGCTGCTGTTCTAGTGTCTCATGAGCATGATACTGAGTGCACTTGTGGACTGGACGGCAGAACATCGGGCCAGAAAGATCAATCAGAAGTTCTTGTTTGCCAAAGTAAAGATATTTCCTCTGCAATATTATCTCAGTATAAGATAAATACAATAAAAGTCACTTACCTGTTTGTAAGGAAATTATACTTATTTTCCTCACCTGTAAGAACAGAATAATAAGAATGAAAGGCATCATGTAAGTTATGTTAAAATCATGTATGGTAAGCACCTACTAATATTTGCTATTGTTACTTTTTAAATAATTATAGGAATGTTCTACTTTTATTATATCTTCAATATTTATTTCTCCATGGAAACAAGTTTACTTTTATAATGAAAGTCAGTGGGAGGATAATGTATCAAAAATGTCTACATAGCTAACTTTGAGGATTTAAGATTTAAGAATACAGTTTTCATCTCCCTTTATTAATACATTAAACTAGACACTACCTTGCATACATCAGTTGTTTTTGCCTCTTATTTTTTTCATAATGCTTTATTAGGTAAACATTGTTTTTCATTTAAAATCTTTAATTTTTCAAAATTACAATGAAGTTATTGAGTTATTTTATCCTATAGGTGAGAAATTATATGAAATAAAAATTTTAGAAGAAACACATAAACAAGAAACTAGTCGTTTGCAAAAAAGAATACAGTGGTATGCGGAAAATCAGGAACTTCTGGATAAAGATGCAGTTCGACTTAAAGAAGCAAATGAAGAAATTGAGAGGCTCAAGCTTGAGGTAATAGATCATTTTAGAGTGTATTTCTGTAGGTCCACCCTATTGCATTTAACAGTTTTCCTTAGCCTTATGTCATAAATACTCTAAAATCTTGAATTAAATAGCTGGTTTGGTTTGCTTTTAGATGTGTAGGCTAGTTTAGATTATTCTGCAAACAAACCAGCTCCTTATCACAATCTGTCAACTTCCCACATGGCCTGAACTCTGCCTGCTCTCCAGCCTTTTCCGAACCACACTTCCACAAACCACACCCACACCACAGCACTCACTGATTCTTGAACATGCCAAGCTCACACCACTTGTTGCCTTGACCTAGATTACTCTGTCCTTGGTTTTCCTTAGTGTCTCTCTCCTTGTTCAGGTCATAGCTCAAATTTCTACTCCCCAGAAAGACCTTTCCTGACCACCTTATCGAATGTAGCTGCCAACCTTGCCCTTTCTGACCCTTTCTTCTTCAGTTTTTTTTTTATTCACAGTAATTAGATATTTCTGAGGTTTTGTTATTAATTTATTAGCTTATCAGCTCTCTCCTTTCATTAGAGCATAAGCACCAAGAAAGCAGGGACCTGGTTTGGCTTGTGCGTCCCCACCTCTCCAGCACAGTGCCATGTCTGGGAATTAATAAACGAATGAATGAACTACCATTGTACTTTCCTCCTTCTGTTTCCTGGTGGGTTTTAAAAATGCTTCTTTACATGTTTTTATTTATTGATAGGCTGAGAAACTGAAAGCTGAATATGGAAATCCATCTCTTCAGAGGAAGACACATTTAAAAGATAAAGCAGCTGATGCCAAAAGAATTCAGGACCTAGAGCGACAAGTATGTGTTCAGGGTAAATTTTCATTAAGGTATATGTAGAGTCTATTGTGTTTTTTCTTGTTTCAGTTTTTATAAGATGTAGTAATATAAAACTGCCCCTACTTGATATACGTATTTAAAATTACTAATAAAAGTAGTAAACATTTTACATAATCTATAGTTTATGCATAAAAACTTAGATTTATGTGCCTCATTGGATGGTAGACCTATTGATGACAAGTTATTTTACATCAGGAAGAGGAAACAATTTAGAAATGCTGGGTATAGAGTTAGGAACATGTTAGTAATGCTGAGAAGTATTACCAGACACCTTGGAAACAGAACATTCAGCACCCCAGAGGGCTGGCAATACTTTTGAGCTCTTACTTAAAAATACTCATTTTATAGTTAGTGTAACTGGGAGACATTTACAAAAATCATATAGTGACTTTTATTATGATAAAGATTTTTTTCATTAAAGTAGTTGTGTTGTGGGGTGGAATAGTTATTAGTTAACATTTCCCAAATTTCTATAATATAGTTTTTTCTATTCATAACTAAATATTAAAATAAGGTATTCCAGCCCTGCTGATGGAGAGCATGAGTGTTGAGTCAAGTAATGACACTTAAATGTATTCTACTATTCCATCACAAACCCCAAACTGTGAGGTCATCACTAAGCTGAATATTATCTCAGTTTTATGAGAAGAAGGAAAACTAAGAAAAAGTTACCTTTGTTACTTTTATAGGCCCTGTTCCTATTTTAAAAGGTATGACTTGGCAGTGTGATTCAGTTCCAGGAAAGGAACCACAAAGGTGATCTAAAGAGCTAGAAATATTTTGAAGTAATTGCTTGGCTCTTTTGCAGTGCTTAGATTTAGATTAGCCATCCAGAATTGTGAGAGAAACAAAACTAAAGAAAATACCTCTCTAATAGATAAATTTATTTTAAAAGAAATAATATAGAACTGAATGTGTGAGAAAAATATTAAGCATGCCTACTAGCAAAATTAAGATGTGAAATGGTGATAAATATTGACCAGAAATAGCTTTACAAGAGTAACCTCTTTTTTTTAAAAAATCTTTATTGTTGAAAGTATTACGTATGTCCCTTTTTCCCCCCTATAACCTTCCTTTTTTATTAACACTTTCATTAAAAATGTATTGGTATCTTCAATTATACCTTTTTAAATTATTACCATTAGTAGTAGTTTGTATAGTTGGCTGCATGTACATTTTAGATTTTATTAATTCTATTCCCATGAACATTTCTGTCCTAATGTTAAACCTTAATACATATTTTATAATCAAGGTATATTATATAATATATTCAGGCTCATTTTGGAGCCACATATTCTGAAATAGATTAATTACAGAATAATATATCTCCTTTTTTAAATAGCACATAAGTAAAAATGGAGCTAATTAAATGCATATTATAGTGAAATCAAATTATATGCATTTGTTTATGCTTTTATTTAATAGATATTTCAAAATAAGTGAGAATTTTTTTAAAAAATTTTACTTTGTATCACTAGTATTATGATTAAAGAATAATATTAAAAAGCAAAACTAGAGGAGGTACAAATAAAATCTGACTTCCCCCCAAAAAATATAATATACATTTCAAGACATCAAAATCAGATTGAAAATATTTCTTAAAATTGTAAAGGAATGCATTGTAAATATGTTAGAACAAACGTTAGATCTTTTTAATACATTTGGTGTATGTGTATATATATACCCTTCTATGCTTACATCTAATGGAAATAACTAGATTTTAAATACCAAAGAGGAAGGAAAGCTTTGACAATTTTGTAAACAAATAAGTTATCAATATTTGTATCCGGATATAACCCAATTTATATTGGGTTATATGCAAGCAGTTTTTATGAATGGAAATATCTGCTGTTAACTTTGCAATTATGTGACCTTTTAATATCTAATCTGAAGAATGTTCAATTTATAAACAGGATGTTGAACACCAGCAACCTTCCTTATCTTAAGGGAGGTAGTTTTTGAGACCAGATCAAAATAAAAGAAAGTAATATCAAGCCCACCCTAGATGGTGGGCACTCAGCTAAATGACCAAGATAAAGGTCATTTGTTCCTTACTTAATTGTATCAATGTCATGAAATTGGTTTTATCATCCCCATTTTGCCAATGAAGCAGAGATTTTGAGGAGTTGACACAGGTCATAAAGCTAGAGGCACAGTCTTAACGGCAAATGTGCTCTAGCTGCACAGACTGCCTCTTACTAGTAGATGCTATTTATTTATTTGATTGCATACTCAGAGACTAGAAATGGTTAAAAGAACTTACTGTTTTAGTATATGTTTTCCAGAGATATCTTAACCATAATATCATTAACAAAAGAAGGCATACACACATATGAATATATAAAATCAAACTCTAATGTCTGTGGACCTTGGTGTCATTCTCTTCTACAGAAAGACCAAATGAACATTTATTTTTGTCATCTAATTCTCCCTCCTAATTAAAGTCATTTTAAAGTAGGTTATACTTCCTTTGGAGGAAGTTAGGGTAGGATGAAGATTCTTGCAGGAAATGGTTTGCTTATTGCAATAAGTTTTCACACTCATGTGCATGTAAGTAATATTTCAGTCAACAGACAGCATAACTATCATTAGAGGAAATCTGTAGAAAAAAAGAGGGAAAAGAGCTTTGTCCTCAAAAAGACTGATTATTAGTAGTAAACTAGCCCCAAGATCTGTTTCAAATGAATGTAAGAGGATTTTTGTAAATTCATCAGTAATTAATTAGATATTATTCTGTAGGATTTTTTTTATCAGACATCTAAGGGTGTAAAATTTGAAATTAATGTATGCTTCTGAGCATTCAGTTCAGTCCTGAGATATGATACAAGTATCTCTTTGAAATCTAGACATAATTGATCTAGCATAATCTATATTAAACTGCTTAATTATATATTTGCAAACTTAAATATATACAAAAATACTTTACTAGGTTAAGGAAATGGAAGGAATTCTAAAGAGAAGATATCCTAATTCTTTACCTGCTTTAATATTGGCTGCATCAGCAGCTGGTGATACAGTAGATAGAAACACAGTGGAATTTATGGAAAAAAGAATAAAAAAACTAGAAGCTGACCTGGAGGGCAAAGATGAAGAAGCAAAGAGAAGCCTTCGTACCATGGAACAAGAGTTTCAGAAAATGAAGGTAAATGCCATAAAGATGGGGCTCAGAGATGGACCATGGGCACTTATTTCTCATCTTAACAAATAGATCTAAACATTCTTTCTCATAAAACCTTTACCTTGAGTGTCAGCTGCAAAAGCAACCTAGAATCATCCTATTTTTTTGTCCCCCTTCAGTAACTGATTTCAAATGTGAAATAATCAAGCGCAGAATAATCTTTATATGAGCCCCATTCAATGATATTAGAATTACTATAAATTAAGTCATGAAAAGGCAGAATAAAGCATCTCTGATATATATTCAGTATAAAATATTTTAATTGCTATCCTTGAAAATATTTCCACTGAAATTTGCATGTTCGAAGGCCCATTACTATAGGGGTCATAAGGCATCAGAACTGTTGCCATATCAATCTCCTCACCAGACTGTGAATTTTTTGAAATCATGAACTGAGTTTATCTCTAGAATCTGGCCCAGTGCCTGGCGAGCAGTCATAGCAAAATAAATATTCATTGAATGAATGAGCAAACACTATCAGTGCCTCTTTCCACAGAGTAATCTATTCTATTGAGGTTATTTCATCATTTTATAATAAAAATCTCCAGGATACAAATTTTAACTTACTCCATAGGAGATTTCTAAATTGCTATTAGAAAGCAATTTACCTGTTTATCCTCAAAGAATATATAGTTTGTCAATTTGCATAGAGAAGGGAACACAATAATAGCTTTGATTGTATGGTTTAGAATAAGCATTGGGGATACAAAAGCATGTGTAAGTTAATGTTTATGAAGCAACATTAATTGCGAAGTTCTATCACATACATTGAGACCATATAATGTTGTGCCCTTCAAAGATTAGGACTCCGATGCGTTTGACTCAATGAACACAGAATTGGAGGCATCACAGTGTGTAATGAGTGCCTGTATAAAGGAATTGGCAGGTCCTGGAAGGATACAGGGCTTCAGTAACTAATGAAATATTTAGCAGTGGTTTGACATTACCTGGATTCTTTTCAGATTCAGTATGAACAGAGACTAGAGGAGCAGGAGCAGCTACTTGCCCACAAATTGAAGGCATCATCTCAGAACCAACATGACAACTCTTCCAGGGTTAAAGCACTAGAGAAGGAACTTGACGACATTAAGGCAGCCCATCAAATCACTGTAAAAAACCTTGAAGCTGAAATAGACAAGTTTAAACAACAGAATGCTGAATTAGAACTCAAGAAAAATAGAGATGATAAAGATTTCCAGTCCATCGAGTTCCAAGTGGAACAGGCTCATGCTAAAGCTAAACTGGCAAGACTCAACGAGGAGCTGGCGGCAAAGGGGAGAGAAATACAGGACCTTTCGAAAACTGTGGAGAAGCTTCAGAAGGAGAGAAGGATGATGCTATCCAGTCAGAACTCGAAGGGGAGGGAGGAAACTGCAAAAAGGGTAAAGAAGGATGTTTCGCACCCAGGTAAAGGAAACGCCAACTCCTTCCCTGGGACCCTGGATGGCAAGCTTTACCAACCACGTACTTTTACCGATTCCCACATTTCCGAGGTTTTACAAGAAAACTGCAGATTGAAAAATGAACTGGAGAAAGTAATTGTGGAGAGGAATGAGTTGAAGATGAAATCTGACATAGCTATGAACCAGTTTGAGAATTCCATAAAAAGGTAAAATGTGCATTTGTTAATATGTGGAGACAAAAAGGTACATTTTAAAATTTCTTCTAGATAATTAGTTATACGCTGAACTGAATTTTAAGAAATTGTATTGCATTGCTAAGCATAGATCCGTTTCATTTTGGAACCAGATTCTGATGAACCTGTATCTGAATCTCCATGTGAACCCACACCATGTCCTGGCTGACCAGTCTTCTTTCTGCATGTATTCAAATGGTGTTAGTGGGCCTTCTTGCAAATGAATATCATTATTTGTGATTGCCATAGGAAGATTACTGTCAAAAACAGCTGTTAGGAAAAAGGGGTAACATTCTAAGACACATGTGTCAAACACAAGGCCCGCGGGCCAAATCCGTCCCGCCAGGCCTTGCAATGTGGCCCGCACCGCGCTGTCATCACTGCACTCCGCTGCGTTTCCATCACAATGACAGTTTATGACTGTCCAGTAAACCATTTGGCCCATGATTTAGGCTGGATTTTAGATTTTGGCCCCTTCTCTGATTGAGTTTGACACCCCTATTCTAAGAGGTCAGGCTCCTTTTTTCCAAAATAACTCTTCCAAATTAATCTTATGGTCACATCCATTCATCTTTCCTCCTCAGAATTTCCAAGTATTGTACTATCTTTCCTCCGAAGTTTCCAACATGCTCAGATTTTTTTGCCTGATCACACCAAGTTCTGGTCCCTTTCTCTGTCTTTCTGTACCAGTTTTCCATAAGTCGCCTCTTGTTTTTCCCCTGGGCTCTCAGTAATGACTTCCCAGACCAGTGGGGTTTTCTCCATCCTCGTTGACCTTGACATCGTCCACTGTGCTACCTTCTTGAGTGGTTCCCTCCCTTAACCTCCATGATTTTACTAACTTTTTTTCTGTTCATTTTAATTATTTCATGACTTCTCTTTAATCTACCTCCTCAAAAGTCAGACTTTCTAAGCCTGACTTGCTGAATTTCTTCACTGCCTTTTGCTTGTTCATGTTTCAAGTCCTACCTCTTCCACAAAATATTTCCTAGAGCTTCCCAGGAAATTGCCTGCCTCTGCCTTTAAGCTCTTATGTAATTTATATATCATGAAAGCACTAATCATAACTCTATCTTGTAGCTCCTTGGGAACTGACATAGGAGTATACTTCTTTTACAACCAATAAACACAATAATAGGTTTGAATGTGAGAGTTAAAATAAGTCATGTTATAAAAATGTCATTTAATGTTGATGAAGCAATATATAAATTATATATTGAATATACAGTTATGCCCTTCAAAGATTAGGATGTCAATACATTTGACTACTCAAGGAACACAGAGTTGAAGGCATCACAGTGTGTAATGAGTACTTGAATTAAGGAAAAGGTAGGTCCTGGTAGACTTTAGGAAGAATGAGCATAGGAAACAGAATGAGCACAGATAGTACCTAATATGTTGAGGTTTATTGATTGATTGGTAGTCACCTCTCATTGAGTCATCGTGGTAAGGATATTGCTCTCAAGTTGAAACTTTTTTCCTATAGTTCCAAATGTGATAGTATCAAGGAAGCTATTTGTAAATAATCACATTCTTTCCTAGAAATAAAATTTTTGAATATTGTTCATCTGTTTCTCAGACAGCTCTGGGTCTGAGAAGCAAGAAATACCTTCCCTGGCCCTAGATTCAGTACCAGTTTGTCCCTACATCTATTCTTGTTCATCAAATTTTGTTTTTTTATGAGCACTATAATATATGAGTACTTCAGATTTTTATCCCTTTCTTAGGACCTAATCACATAGTTTCCATTTAAGAGATTTTCATATAATCAAATGAGCAACTGATATATATTTGTTTGTTTTGGAATTATTTAATAAATCATTGTTGATGCTTAATAACATATCTGCTTTGATTAAAATCCTGTCATTTTCAAATATTTCCAATAAGAGAGGAAATACTTAGTTATAAGTAATGTATTAGCTCTTTAGTTGTAACTTTACCATTTACTAAACTGCCTCTGAATACATAAATTTTGTCACAGAGACAAATGAATAGTCTTTCATACTTAACAATGCAAACTAATTAGGTTCAATTATCCTGTGTCCTGAGAATTACTGTAAAAATAATTTATTCTTACCACATGCAACTAGCCCAAGTCATATGCATGGGCCAGAACCTGGAGAATGTTGCGTAGACAAAGCATTGGAGTTTTTAAAGGAAACAGTTGTGATTATCCAAATAACAATCTGGTCAAGAAATCTTAGTCATTCTTAAAAGACAGATCCTTTGCTTTAAATCCAAACAGAACATTTAGAACCTTCAATTCCCTCAGAAAGTGCAGCCCCATGCTGGGTGTAGAGTGGAAGACCTGCCCTGGATTCTAAGGTTCAGTGGCCTGGCTTGAACCACAGGTCTGCAGCTTACTGATCTGAATCCTAGATACACTCCTCTCTCCTAAACTCAGTAATTGTGGCTCGTGGAGTGGTTCTAGGCAATAAGTATTGTGTGAGTTACCTAGCACTCTGGTCAGCAAACTGCGGCTCGCGAGCCAATTGCGACTCTTTGGCCCTTTGTGTGTGGCTCTTCCCCAAAATACCAGGGTCTGGGTGAGTCTGTTTTGAAGAAGTGGCGTTAGAAATTTAAGTTTTAAAAATTTGGCTCTCCAAAGAAATTTCAGTCCTTGTAGTGTTGATATTTGGCTCTTGTTGACAGAGTTTGCCGACCACTGGCCTAGCACAATGCAGTGGATACAGTGCCCTCTCCCTTTGCTTCTTACACTGCTGTTGTGCTAGCTCTTAATTAAAGGTTGAGGAGCTGCTTTTATGTGTGGTTTTCTTTCATTTGCTTTAAAGGGTCAAGGAAGACACTGCAGCACACATCACCTCTCTCAAAGCATCTCATCAAAGGGAAATAGAGAAACTCCTTTGCCAAAACGCAGTAGAAAATTCCTCTTCCAAAGTAGCTGAACTAAATCGTAAAATAGCCACTCAAGAGGTAGGTGACTTTAATAAACTTTCTTAGACTTTAATGTGATTTTTTTTCAGTGCTGTTATCAGAATATTAATTTTGAAATATTTTCACTTCACTTTGTTATGTTGATAGAAATGTTATTGTTGGCTTGATTTTGTGTTTATGAGGATGTCATTGCCATATGTTTAACTATTCTAATGTTTTACTACGTTTTTTCAGTTTCTTGATGGAAGTATTTGTGTTATTTCCATTTCTTTGTCTAAAAGTATGAGACTAACATTTATTTCACAGATATTAGGCTTGTGTTATCTTTATTTAGTCAATAGCTCTTTAATAAAAACTATTATTCTACTTAATCACAATGTATAGAGAAAATATTGGCCACTTTCTTCAAAATGCCTAGACTTTTTAAAAATCATTATTGATTTTTCCACTGAGAGGAACACAGATAGGTTGCTTCCCACATGTGCACTTGCCCTGATTAATCAGGGATCTAACCTGCAACCTAGGTATGTGTCCTGACTGGAATCAAACCCAATACTTTGTGGTATATGGGATGACGCTCCAACAGACTGAGCCACACCGGCCAGAGAAGAATGCTCACACTTTATAGAAGTTTATCTTAAAGGCTTCAAGAGAAAAATACTTGAGATAAAAAAGCCATGTAGGTACATAGTCATTAATTTGTAATATGTGATGTTTTATATTAAATGTTGAAAGAAACAAAATGATAAATTTATTCAATGAGTTTAATTCAGTGAATTTAATTTCTATGTCAGCCTATTTCTAGGTTAGAACTTTGTAATTTTAAAATATTAGGTCATTAGTTGGTTTTCTTATATTTTTCAAATAATGTTCAAGAAAGAACTTTATTAACTCAGAACTTTTATCATAATTTTCTAGGTACTTATAAAACATTTCCAAAATCAAGTTAATGAGCTGCAAGATAAACAAGAATCTCTTATGGTTTCTCAAGTTCGAGAAGAAATCCTACAGAAAGAGGTAAGAAATCACAAAAATATTGGCCAAATATAAGTTTATCTTGGCCAATTTAGCCATTTCAATCATATTCACATTTTTGCATTAATTTTTTAACTTAAATGTACAAATAGACATAACCTAAAAATACCACAGTCAAGATAATATTAATATCTTATTTATGGAAAATCTGCTTTTTCCATCTATTGATATTTTTGGGGTAGTTTTTTAGTAAGTAAAATTAGTACTTAATGCAGAAATGGCTTTAACCATCTATGACTAATTTGGTTAGCAAATAGGTAAAGTAATCATCACAGTGATGCTAGATCACCAATAATATAACTACAGGAAATAGATTTTTTTCAAAAACTCATCATAACAATAAGAGTTATCAATTTTTAAGTATTTACTTTAAGTATATACTAGGCACTGTGCTCTTTGTGATTCTTCACCATAACCCTAAAGCTTAGGTACTATTATTCCCATTTTATAAATTAAAAAATTGATTTTAAGAAAAATTAAATACAGTAACTTCCCTGAGGTAACCAAGCCTGGTCATTGGACATTGAGGTCATTACCAGTGTTTTCTATAGTACTTAAGTAACAGGAAGCATTTTTTATCAATCTTTACTTATGTATTCAGTTACCAACATAGAATAAATTCACCAAAATGCAAAAATAAAAGTATTCAACTTTTATTTTACCCCTAAAGGTGCATTTAAGTAGATACAAAAGAAATTTTCTGTATTTTTTTATTTTGAGCTAAATTTCTGCTGATCTTTCTGCAAATCATCAATTAAAGTCTGCATATCTATTTTTTGGTGAGGAATGTTTCACATTTAAAAATATTTTGATTCACCTCTGACTCAATTTGCTTGTATTTTCACCTTTTTAAAACTAATTTAGGAAGTGTGTACGTTTAGTATTATCAATGTTATTAGGTAGTGGGTGTTTCCATGTAAACCGATTGAATTTGTTAATTTTATCTATTTTGATATGTTAATTATTTTGTTTTTTTATATTGGCTAGTTATAATTATGTGATATAAAGAAAATAAAAGTAATTTGTTCCATCAAACCCAATATAAAGATCCTCCATTTAACTCTCGGGTGACAAAATGTTACCATTTTCTCTGTGTGCTATAATCAGAAAAAAGAGGTACTGCACTAACTGCAATTCCCATGTGTCTTTCATCTTTGCAACCTAAGACAGCAGCAAGCACAGAAAGTTTATTACTTCATTATCTGTATTTCTTATGCATACATTTATTTGTGGAATGAATTATAAAATTATGAGATCCAGAAGAGAATTACAAATAGGATTATAGGGCGTTGATAAAGAAAGGATCTATATTTACTGAACTTTTTCTGTATTACTTAATCTTAAAGTAATCACTCTATTAAATACTTTATAACAAAGCTAAATACACCAAAGATAAACGTCCAGCTTAATTTTGAATGACATAAACCGGCCTGGCATATGTGGGAGGGAAAGCTGGGCCAAGTATCTGAAGCCTTTTGGATTGTGAGGTCAGTTCAGTTCTAGGATGACCCTTTCACTTCCTGGATTAGGGAAGGAAAGCTATTAATTATCCTAACAACTTAAAATATCTTTGTTGACAAGAAGCCTCTTATCTAGTGAAATTTTACACACAAAAAAACATGTGGTTAATAGTCTTCCTTCTTAAGACTACCTGTTAAAAATGAATTACTTCCTTATCATAGTTTTTCATTTAACTTCATACCTCAATTTTAGATTACAAAACTCTTAGAAGAATTGAGAGAGGCCAAAGAGAACCATACCCCAGAGATGAAACATTTCATGGGCTTAGAAAAGAAAATTAAACAGATGGAAATGAGACATAAACAAAGAGAGCAAGAACTTCAACAGGTAAAGTAGTAAATCACATGTACATATTTGTAGAGTTCTTCACTTTGAAGTACCTCCAGTTTGCTATAGTTTGTCATCCCTAGCAAAATTTACTTTGTAGTGTTTCCATTATATATTGATCTTATTAATAATATATAGCTTTTCAGAGAAAAATTACTTTAAATCTCAAATACCTGAAGATTGGTTTACCCTATTTATGAAGAAATAGAGACACAACTTGTATCAGGTTCTTATATGCCTAGCACTAGTAATACCATTACTGTACTTAATCACAAACAGATGAATTAATGGAAATTTAAAAATGGCCGAAGGACATGATGATGTAGTTTGGGCACTAGCCTTGGTGCAGATATTTAACTTTGCTTGAACAATGTATTATTCGGTTTGGTCTGACAGCAAAATATCAAACTGGGAGGCTTAAAAAAACAACTACTAATTTTCTCATAGTTTGGAGGCTAGGATTCCAAGATGGAAGTTACAGCTGATTCATTTTCTAGTGAGGTGAGAGTTCTCATCCTGGCTTATAGAGGGCCTTTCCTCAGTGTGCGCCCTGCAGGATAGAAGAGGGAAAATAGAGAGAAAGCTCTCTGGTGCCTCTTATAAGGACACTAATCCAGTCATAATCTAATTATGTTTGGGGCCTCACCCTTGGGACCTCATGTAGACTTAACTACCGTAGTTCCTTACCCCAAATACAGCCACACTGTGAGTTAGGGCTTCAACATAAGAAGGGATATGAGGGTGGCACATATTCAGTCTAAATCAGTGTAAGTTAAATACTCTTTGCAAATAAAAATCACCACATCCATGCAAGCTTTATGACTGACCTAAGTTCCACAGAAAAACCGTAAGTCTGTTTAATCCTATCAAGATGAATGAAATTTCTCATTCTTACTCTTATTTATGAATTTCTCTTAAAAACACATTGCATACCGAGAAATGATCATCCACAGTAGAGTTAAGGTATCAGTGTATCATCATTTTTCCAGAACCCACCTTTGTGTGTCACTTTTTAATGCCTATTTTAGAAAATGGTTGTAAGTTGTTGATAAATATGTTAAACATTTGCTTTGTTATAGTTACATACTTTATTATATATAGCCTAATGTCAGTTATTTTATAAATGTAATAATGTTATATATGTATTCATTAAAAAATATATGGTGTCACAAAATTGTATACAGTGTGAATAATTATAAAGGTAGTGTTCATTAAAATACATTTCATTTCCAAAATGGAGCTATTAGCTGTTAAGATGAATAGATTTTTTGGGACAACCTTTATTATTGCAATTCGTTTTCTAATTTTGACTGTTTTGTTTGCTAAAGCAAAAATGCAGTAGGCTTTTAAAAATATATTTGATTCTTAGAGAAGGTAATAGATTGCAGTTTCATAGTAAAATGCTAAATTAAGATGTTATCTAAGTGGTTGTTCTGACTTGAGTTTCCCTCACAAAAACACCAATTAGCAACCAACAATTCATAAACAAGGCAATTGTGAAAACTCAAAACATAGGTGAGTTCGAAGTACTCTTTTGTTCCACAGAGACCAAGAAGCACTGCCTTAAAAGGGTAAGAGGAGCAGCCACAGTCTGACAGGCCAGCATAGCGTTGCACCAGAGGGTACTCTGTGGCCTACATTTCCTCCAGTGGGAAAAAGAGCCCAAGATGAACATCCAACTTGCCCACCACTGTGGGTTGCTTCCCAGGAGGCCCACTTGGTCTCACCTCATAAAGATTTCAGGGCAGAATCTATGGGGCTCAGCCACTGGAGATCAGATTGTGACTGCAAAGTTCACCTCCTGCCATGGACACACTAAATCTTTAGCTACTGTGCAGAACAATTTCCTCAAGGAGAGGGAGGGGGGAAACAAAACAAAAAGCAGCTAGCTGAACAACTCCTACACAAAGTAAGCTAAGGCAAAATCTCACCAAAAGCCTCCACCTCCAGCTAGTGACCACAATCAAGAGGAAGCTCAAACCCGGATCTTTTCCCTGAGGAGTAAAGAGTTTGAAACCCACATTGGGCACTTTAACTTTTAAGATCTGCTCCTGAGAGATGAACCTCCGGAACTCAGCTTTGTAAGGCCACGGGGGCTTGTGCCCCTGAGACCCAGGAGGCTCTAGCAAACTAACAGCCCTAAAGGCCAAGTGCGTACACCCCCTCCAGGGCGCAATGCAGAGGCAGCAAGGGCTCTCTGCGAAAGAGCTCTGCTTATCTAAGCACTGGCCTGGGGGCAGCCATCTAATGCAGCACACACCTAGGAGCTGCTGAAATACTCTCCAGGGACCAGGGTGGTGAGAGCTATCTTCACACTCTTCCTCTCGCCTTGCTACAACTTGCCAGTATCTTCCAGAAAGGAGCTTGCACCCTCATTTGGCACCTCAATTTTTGTGGCTGCCACCCAAATATATATTGCCTTGTTGGCCCCCTGGACAGTATATATTTGCATACTTTATTAGATGCTGCCTGAGGGTCTGGCTTCCAGTCTACCTGAATCTAGGTGCTGAGATCCTCCCCTTTGAGACACTGACATAGGTACTCCTAACTAATGGAAACCACTAAACATAAAATAGGTTGTTTGGACAATTACAAAAATTTAAGAGAAAACCAAGAACTAGGACAAGGAAGGCAGAGTTGATGGCAGCTTCATCTACATGACACCCTCCTTCTAGACTGGCAGGTGGCTCTTTTACCAACGTATAGAAACTAACAGAGTCAGGAAAACATAAAAAAAAATAGTGAAATATAGTCCCAAAAAAAGAGAACAAGATAAAGCCTGTGGAAAAGATCTTCAGGAAACAGAGTGAGTTATCTGTTCAAGAGTTCAAAATAATAGTCACAAAAAGCGAATGAACGAAGTGAAATAAGAAAGTACCAAATAAAAGTCACAGAACTGAATACTACAATTACTACACTGAAAAATGCAATCGAGGTGAGACAATGCCCTACCGAACTCATGCCCCCACCTGATCATACCTCAGCCTAATAACCACCTTGTATGACAAGCCCACAGCTAACATTCTCAATGGTGAAAAGCAAAAATATGTTTTTTGAAGATCAGAAGCAAAACAGGGTTGCCCACTTTCACCACTTTTATTCAACACTAGAGGCCCGGTGCACGGGTGGGGTCCCTCAGCCTGGCCTGCGATTGGGAAAAGGGGGGAGGGACCATGGGAGGTTGGCTGGCTGCGGGAGTTTGGCTGTGGGAGCCCACTGACCACCAAGGGGCCGCTCCTGTCATTTGGTCAGCTGGTTGTAGTGGTATTGGAAGTCCTAGCCACAGGACTTTTTTTTTTATTATTATTGATTTTATACAGAGAGGGAGAGGGAGAGTTAGAAACATCCATGAGAGAGACTTATCTGTCAGCTACCTCCTGCACACCCCCTACTGGGGATGTGTTCGCAACCAAGGTACATGCCCTTCAGTCCATAGGCAGACACTCCATCCACTAACTGAAACTGGTTAGTAAAAATGACATTTTTACTTCCTTCTTTCCAACTCGAATGCTTTTTATTCTTGGTCATCGTGAGTATTTATGCTGAAGCGACTTCACCTCTACCACCTGGCTCACCTGCATCAGCCACAACCCCTGTGTGCTCAGGGAAAATGAATCCTGTTCTCTCACTTGTGCTTGAGGAAATTATGATTAATCCAAGCTCTTGGTTATACCACCTACGTTTGTATAAATGTACTCGGTTATGTGTGCACAATGACAAAATTGCCTCACATCACATTTCCCAGAACGTATCTCCACTCGTTAAGTAGCACATGCCTATAATTAGAAAAAAAAAGAATTATAAAATTCATATGGAATCACAAAGGACTCCAAATAGCCCAACCAATCCTAACAAAGAACAAAGCTGTAGTGATCACACTTATTAATTTCAAACTATATTACACAGCTACAGTACTCAAAAAGTATGGTACTTGCATTAAAAGAGGCACATAGACCAGTGGAATAGAATCAGGGGCCCAGAAATAAATCCATGCATGTACAGTTAACATATTTGATAAAGGAGTAAAGAATACTCAATGGAGAAATGATAGTCCCTTTGATAGCTGATTCTAGGTAATGTCCACATGCAAAAGAATGAAACTAGATCTCTGTCTTACATCACTCATAATGTATTAAAGACTTCAAGTAAGTCTTGAAACTATAAAACTCCTAGAAGAAAACATAGGGAAACAGCTCCTTGACAGTGAGTTTTTGGATATGAGACTTAAGAGTACAAGCAACAAAATAAGTACACTATTGGGACTTCACCAAGCTAAAAAGTACACAGCTAAAGAAATAATCAACAAAATGAAAGGCAACAAAAATAAAAGGCAACATGAAGTGGGAGGAAGTATTTGGAAACTACACATCTTATAAGGGGCTAATATCCAAAATATACAAGGAACTCATATAACTCAATACCAAGAGAGATAATAAATATGCAATTAAAAATGGGTAAAGGGTCTGAATAGACATTTTCCAAAGAAAATATTTAAATGGTCAACAGGGTACATGAAAAAGTGCTTTGTGTCAGCTTGCAGGTGAAGGTGGTAAGAAGAGGGAAATTTAGTATCTAATTCTGCTAGGGAGTTTTACAGTATTTTTTTTTTTTTTGAGCTGTGAATAAGAATACCATTTAAAGCATCAGAAATTATATCCAAAAAGCTGTTTCTCTTCATAACAACCCTTGAGATGCAATCAAGACAGTTTTCATATACTGTACAACTCATGTCATTGCAATCATTCTAGAACTAGAAATAGTGATAAAAGCATACATGTAGCATTTACCATGTGCCAGGCTTCTTGTTTATAAGCACTTGTTCCATGTTAACTCATTTAATTCTGCCAACACAAACAGGATGGGGAAATTGAAGCATAGATAAGTAAAAAAACAAAACAAACAAACAAACAAAAAAAGCAAAAAACCAATTTGGTCAAAGTTCACACACAGCTTGTGGGAGGCAGCCTGGCCTCAGAGCCCCTGCTACTATCACTAGACTGCCTTGCTTTTGGGGGCCAATGGTGAAGTGAGGGTACCCTGTCAAGTACCTTAAGAAAATCATTCGGCACAAGCATTACAAACCTTAGAAAGCTAGACATACAAAAGCTAGTTAGGGCAACAAAACCAATAATGTTTCCAAACGTTAAACATGCTAAACATCTTCAGTATAATTTTTTATCTATAATCCTGCCTTGCTGACACAGTGAAACCGATAAGTGGGGCTCCCCACTTCTCCCCCAGGCCGCAGCTTTATTGTTGTCCATATTGTCCCACGTCAGCTCTTCGAAATTGTTAAATGTCCTCCCCCTTCCCCTCCCCACCCCCCACCCCCGTGAACTCCAACACTGATATGGAATTTCTTTTTAATTTACAGATAATACAGCAGACACACCAAGTAGTAGAATCTGAGCAAAACAAAGAGATTGAGAAATGGAAAAGACTCGCACAGTTGAAGAATCGTGAGCTGGACAAGTTCCGCACAGAATTGGACTCGATCTTGGATGTCCTGCGAGAGCTGCAGCGGCAGGGGGTGGTGGTGCCCGTCGCCCTAGCGGAGGAAGTGAGCGCACCACAGTATTAACCTGGACTGTAGGCGTCACAGGGCCTCCCGGCAGGGCCCGCTGCGTGGTGGCTGGGATCGTGCCTCATCAGAGAAGGCTGATGAAAACCACTGTTCCAGGATGTTCCCAGAAAACCGCACAAAAGCAACATTTCGAAATAAACTGCTCTTAACCAATAAGAAAAAAGAAAAAAAAAAAGCATTGTAGCATATTTTACTGAAAATCTTTAACCAGTCACGTTTTAAATAATTTACGGACAAATCTCTATGACGAGATTAGAATTAGTGAATTTCATAGTAAAAGTTCTCACTTTTACTAGATGTGAAAAGAAAAGGAAATTGCACCTACTCTGCCGTTGTCAGTGCCAGAAAAGCAGCTCCTCTTCCTCATGGACACGCAGGGAGGGTGTGAGCACAGTGGCTGCACAACCACATCCCAGTCACCGAGCAGGAGAGTCTCCACAATAACTTGAACAAGAATTATAATTTCTGTACAGTGGACCGTGAACTACCTGTGACACCCAGATTTCCACTCCCACCTCTACGTGCCTCATTTTTTTACCTGCTATAAGTGCAAAATATACAAGTAATAAGGGGGTTTGGTTTATTGTTTTATGCTACTTGTCTTAAATGCCACTTCATTTTTTGTAACTCCTTTGAGTTGTAGACTGAACATAACATTTTTACTTTCTCTATTTAAAAGGTAATATAGGTTTATTAGGAAAAACTAAAAGTATGCACAAAAGCAGCCATATTCTTATTTTACTTTGCAATTCCCATTTCCAAAAGCAGATATTGTGTGTATAAGATTCCAGTCAATTAAAGCCATAGCCACTTTGTTTTAAGATGTTCCAGCCCAGTACTGTCCAACAGAAATATAATTAATGTGAGCCACATATTTTATTTTATTTTAAATGTAATTAATTTTGGAAATTTATATATTCAAAATGTGAATATAAAAGTTGAGTTTTTGTTATTTTTTCATACCTAAGTCTCCAAATTCTGGTATATTTTACATTTATAAGCACATCTCATCTTGGACTACCCACGTTCCAAGTGCTCAACCACAGGCTAATAAATGCAGTTCTAGAATAATAATTACAATAATAATATAACAATGTGAAGCACTGTTATAAAGGACAGGTGAAATAGGTCTTGGCGGAATTATTGATAGCAAATGTGAAATGTGGAAATTAATAATAAGAAATGCAATTAATGTCAATGTTCAGCATTTTTTAATGTCCTTTTCCTAAGAGGGTACAAAAAGCATTATAACTTGTTATTTTTTTATGTGAAAGAATCTTAATTTAAATTATAAACTATTTTGGTTATTATTTGCTCTGTGTGTGTTTTTATCTGCAAACTTATTAATTTATTGCTACACCCATTTCTCACTTTGTCTTTTTGACTATTCATGGGATGTTCATTCCAGGCACAAACATGACTGATTCTGAAACACAAGAAGTGCAGCATCGAATAGATTACAGCAAAAGTGCATCCTATTTTGATGAGGATTTTATATTCTGTTTTGGAATAAGCTGTGCACATGTCAGATCTTCTATTTACAGATTAAGGATCCATAAATACTTTCAGAACTTTTAGTTACAACTAAAACCAGCAAGAACCATATTCCATTCCTTAGTCAATACACTAACAGTCCAGGATGAGAACATGGAAGATAGACAACGTTAGACACTTTTATGAAGATTTAAGCTCCAGGAAATATCAGTCCTCTCCAACCAGTTCCACCTCCTCGCAATGTCAAAAGGCATCCACAGGCCTCCCTGGGGGAACCTCATCAGAACACATGGCTTGCCACTGAACACACTTGTGCAGAGGGATTTCTGAGTGAGCCCATTGCAATCTGGGCTTTTGTATTAAGGTCTCATTCCATATTTCAAAAATCCTGAATTTATGACAAAATGTCTAGGTGAAAGCAGTCCCTTTTCCACCCATACTTGTGAGGACTCCAGGTAGTCCCAGATCTGCATGCACATGAAATAAGAGGTAACCTTTCTCAGAATAAGGTTCTTTCCTATCAATATTTGTAGATATGACAGCCTTCCTGTTTCAAAGAGCTCCTTAAAGGTGAAAAGAGTGAAGTTTGAATGTTTTCAATATTTCCAAGTTATGGGTAATCCTATTGTAGTATTTGAACCATTTATGGTCTTTCTTCAGTTTCTATAGGAGTCTAATAAACACATGTAGAAGATGGTTTTTTTTAAAATCACATGTATTTTTTAAAATATATTTTTATTGATTTCAG